GGGACATAAGGGACTCCCTCACAGCAAGGGAAGGCAGCTGCCAGAGAGCTCCTGAGCCATTCAAGAAAGGAACCCCATTTGCTAGCAACTGCCTTCACCTGCAAGCCTTCCACTAGTCTTCAGCCTCCTATTCCAGGGCAAGGCCAGGACACTCTCCCTAGCTGCTGTGCTGAAACTCAGATCTAGTTGCTGCCTCCTGCTCTGTCCTTCTAAAGGGCAATAGCATAACAGTCAAATGAGGCCCACCCAATGTTGCCTTATAGGGAAGATGAGGAAGGAAGAGACTCACCCAAGATGCGATAGAAAACAAGATGCCAAGAAGGGGACTAATTGTCATGTAAAATTTACCTTTTCTGCCAAGATGCTGCACAACTTCAGTACTGCTGAAGCCACCTCTGCTTGAACCTGCAGTATCTGGGGCCCATGGCTTCATCTACACTGGGAAATTTACAAGCCCTCCTTGCTTCAGAGGAAAAAGCAAACAACTTTGCCTATGTGCAGGGGTCAATGGCGTTCAGGGACCTGTTGTAGCACTATAAGAGTTCAGCAGAAGTTGGTCACAGCTCTGTTTGAGCTCAGCTAATTTTGTCTATGTCATGAGGCAGACTTTTTACACAAGACTCCACACACAATTTGATGGGGGCATGGTGTGGTTGTATTTGATGCAGGATCGGATAAGAATGGTTTTTACATTATGGACACAACCAAGGGGTATCCACCCTTAAGAGGGAATGTTCCTTTCCCACATTCTAGTTGGGGATGGAGATTCTATGGGAACAGGAGTTAAAGCTCCACTGTCTGGCTAGTGGTTCACTCTCAGACAGCCTGTAACATGAGTGATAGCTGAGTACATAATGGCTAGTCCATTTGCCTCCCAGCCACTGCATTTCCAGAAACATTTTGTTAAATGCCTTGAGCAGCAGGAAGCAACACCAGGTGCTTTACAAAACTGAGTTCTAGTCTAGCCAACTCAGAGTCCCTTCCCCAGGAAGTTTGCTGTGCTGAAGAAAGGCAGCTACAGACCTGCTCCCCCTTCCACTCCCTCAACCGTAACAAAACAGCAAAGATATCCAGGGGGGAAAAAAAAAACAAAAAATCACATGCTACCTCTGCTCACAAGCATTTACCCCTTGGTGGGTGTATATATCTGCCTGTCTGGCACCATGATGTAGGAGTCTATGCTGTGACTAGCTTTTTCATCCAAATACCAGGGCTCTACTTGGACACAACTCAAATGGGACTAATCTCACTGGTACATTTTAGGGGGAGGGTTTTTCATGAGCACTATTCAACACACCCTATCCTCTCCCACCTACCAAAAACTCAGAGTCACTCCCCTGGTACCAATTGCCCTATGCTGCTTTGTTTCTTTTAATTATGCCTGTAATTAATGTGAATATTCATATTCACTATATTAAGTGGGCATAGTAGCCAAGAGAAATGATTTATAAACTCCTCTTTGCGCACTGAAAATCACTGATGTGAAGAACTGCTGATTCCTAGGCTGGCTCCTTCCTACACCCTGTACAAGTCTTTGATAAATGATCTTTAGAAGGCCTTCCAAATCTAAACATGCCATATCTTGGTAACAAAGGGAAGGAGAAATGTTGCAAAGATATTTGCATGAGAACAGGATCGTTAAGCTCTCCATCTGCTCCTTATTCTGTACCTGAACTATTTGTCTTCTCACTGCATCTGACTCATTGCCATAATAGACATGTTTACAATCAACTAGCTTCTTGAGGAGCCTGCATTCTTCTGTTGACCTGATGAGATTTTGAGCTTACAAAGAGCTCTTCATCTCTCACCAACAAAAGATATTACTTCACCAACCTTGTCTTATATCCTGGGTCCAACGTAACTACACCACTGCATGCATTCGCCTGTTTCAACAGACAAGTATAACATACCTACCCAACCCCCTCCCCCCAAGTTAAGTGATAGAGAGCGCCCAGGTCCTACATCAGAACTGTCTTAATTACGTTTCAGTTCCTGTTAAGCCAGTTTAAAAACTGAACAGAAAGTTCCACAGACCCTTTCTTGAAGGCTATAGCCAGGACATGGGAAGGAACAAGCTTCAAATTGAGCTGAAGCTAGTCAAGAAGCATGCATCCGATGAAGTGAGCTGTAGCTCACGAAAACTCATGCTCAAATAAATTGGTTAGTCTCTAAGGTGCCACAAGTACTCCTTTTCTTTTTTCAAGAAGCATGGAGTCTTACCACCTACTACACTGACTGGGGTTGTGCAACTGGCTACCCTTATAGAACCAGATTTTGTTCAACTAAGGACCACTCTGAAAACATGCCAGGAGGCAAACAGTAAACCTAGTTTGCCAAAGCTGGGCCATGTTTCAGTCAGTTACCCCAGCATTCAGTGCTCACTCAGATCAAGCAGGATTACTGCATGCCACAGCCCTTCTACAGCTGTAGGAAGGGAAGTCAGACATTGTCCCAAGTTCCCAGCAGGGTACTTGCAGGCATCTGCTATTTGACCTCTTGTACAAGAGATGATCTAACATCACGACCGATCTAGCATGACTCCAAGAGCAGGGATCACATCTCTACTTCAGACAACCTTGCTTTGCTTTAGAACTGCTCTCCAAGAACATGGGGCAAAACACAGCCATTTTACCACATGTACAGGCACAGTTAAGACCATCATTGCAGAGCTAAAGCTTCTCCTTAAGAGTTGTTGTCTAATATTGCACTACAGCACCTCTAAAGCAACTCAAGCTACTGTTAGTCATCCTTCTCCCTCTTGCTCTGCCACCCCTTTTCAAGCCACCTCTGTTTAAAATGTGAGGTCTCTGGGATAAAAAGTCTTTGTGAAGTGCCTTGCACATTTCCAGGTACTGCATGGACAATAAGAAAAGGAGGACTCGTGGCACCTTAGAGACTAAAATTTATTTAATGCTCAAATAAATTTGTTAGTCTCTTTGAGCACTGAATAAATTTTAGTCTCTAAATAAATTTTAGTCTAATGAGGTGCCACAATTTCTCCTTTTCTTTTTGCAAATACAGACTAACACAGCTGCTACTCTGAAACCTGCATGGACAATAGAACTCTGGCTTACTAAACTTGTCAAACAAGGCAGCAGCCTGCTGCCCCCTGCTACCAAAGGGGATGTAGTTTACTTAAGCCCTTCCTTCTCAATGCTCCCAGATTGTTCACCACCATTCAAGACATTGCCCAAAGCTTGGTATTCTTTGTGTGTGTGTACACACACACCTTATTCAGAGAGTGGAGTTACAATTCAGATATAGAATACAAGCAAATCACTGATAAACTGTTAACACCAGCTTTCTCTCTGATCATAACCTGCACTTTAGTCTCTTCATTGCACGATTTGTCACTTACTTTGCCTTTCTATACAGCCCTCCATGCAAGAATCTCAAGATTATATACAAGCAATATAGGGCTTTGGTGCAACTGCACCTGCAACGATGCTGAGTTCCGAGTACCCCATTTCCAGAATGGAACACAGACCAGAGGTGGGATAATAGTTTGAAAAACAGCAACAAACTGATGAGTGGACTAACTTAGCAGGAAGTACCAAGCAAGCAATTTGGTGGTAGAAAAAAATAATAGGAACTCAGATCTCACTCATATGCTCTAGCATTAATCAGTTTTCTCTCCAATGACCTGAGGCCCACCACCATACAAAGGAGGGTGCCAGCCTTTAGGAGTTTTGTTCAAGCTGCTCTTACTCTGGGGCAGGGGAAATTCTTCTTGCCTGCTTGAAGCAGACACCACAGTCCGACCACCACTCACATGCAGGGACTCAAAGCTGCTTTACAATAAACAGTCACTGGAAATGCTAAACTGAGGTTACCCTCCCTATTTCTCATTACAATCCTAGCCCTCTTTTTCTGGCATTCAAGGGAAACCAGAGAGGCACCTTCTTCAGGGGTAGAAGAGGATTTGTCTAGTTCACACTTGACCTAGAAAGGTGTAGACTGGAATGCTAGTGCCTACCACATAGGCAGCTTCCCCCACAAGTGTTCTCAGTCATTCCAATACTCCCACTGACACAAGGGAGGAGTCACTTCCCTTTGATACACCCCCAAAATGTCTTAGAGTGAATGTTATATATGCTAGTCTGTAGTGGAGGCTAACAGGAAGAGTCTCCCGTACAAAAACCCTAACCATAATTCAGGATGCCTACTAAGATGGAGAAGCTATAGGACTAGAGAACAATGTTCATAGTCAGGATGCTTATACAGGAGGCTCTTGGTTTTTATGTCCCCCTACTTCCTCCCACTCCTGTCCCAGCATTTCTAGTTATGGGTCTTGCTAAGAGCCGGGTCATTCTACATGCCAGGCACGGGGAGTGAGAAGTCCACTGTCATCTTTCCACATACTCCCAGGCTAGGCTTCAGGGGCAGGACAGAGTAGCGTAATGGGCTCACGTCTCCTTCAGGAGCAGGATGCCCTGGGGCATAAGGATAAGGAGAGAATCTACTTGACACACACACACCCCGAATGCGCTGCAGCCGTGCCCCAGAGACCCCCCCCCCGCCCCAAAGATTCAGCCTCACACTCGCTCTCTTTGGGAGCCAGCCCCCCACACAACACGGGTTCGAGCCAGAGGTTTGCCTGCTGTAGCCCGAGGCGAGGCAAGGCAGCTAGTTGCAGGGGGCTACACCGCACCAGGCTGCCAAGCAGGGGAGGGGGGGACCCCTCCCCACCCGCTCCTAGAGGCGGGGAGGCCCGAGGCGACACAGAGCAGCGGGGGCTCTCTCCGCCTTCAGCCCCTCACGGGCCAGCCGGACGCCCCAGGAGTGAAGACGCCGCTTTCCAGGGAGGAGGGGACCCGCCGCCCGACTGCAGAGCCGGCGGTGGCGGACCGCGAAGAGGGGCGGGAAACCCCAGGCGTCGCCAGAGTGTTTTCGGGGGGCGCGGGGGGAGCTGAGAGCCCCAAAACAGCCCCTTCTAGGATCCCCCCGCCCGCCCCGCGGGGATGCGCAGCCGGAGGGAGCCCCGCCACCCCTCCGCGCACCTGCACGGCCCGGCTGAAGAAGACCCCCGCGTCCGAGGCCAGCTTCTTCATGTTGAAGTCCATCTCCCCGCGCGCCGCCGCGGGCGCTCAGCTCCAACGCCTCAGCCGGTAGAGAAAACTAGAACGAAGCCGACTCAGCCCTCGGCGCACCCGCCCCTTTATAGGGCCCATCGACGCCCTCTGGCATCCTCGCGGCTGCCTCTTAAAGGGGAAAGTGCCCGGCACGCCAGCCCCTGAGGGGCGGCCTCGCTGTGGTCCTGTGTGCCATGGCAGCTTCGTGCAAGCCCAGGCCGAGGCCCATGGACGCAGCGCCGGAGTCCTATTGGGCGGCTGTGTGGGCTCTGGGGTAAATAAGGAACCTCAGGATGCCGCTAGCTGACGCTGCCCTTTTAAGAGAAGCTCCTCCCCTTTCCTTCTCAGCCTGCCAATCACAGTCAATCAACACTATGTATGCCGTCCCACAGGGAAGACTGCTCATTGCTGCTCAACCGCACACGCCGCTGCCTGGCCAGGGCAGCCAGCTGATTGGTCCGCCCCGGAGCAGCACGCTGTTCTGATTGGCTGGCGGCGGGCGGCCTCCTACGGGTTCCTCCGCCTGGTGGCTGTCAGGCTAGGCTGCGGCGCGCAGGGGAAGGAGACGCTGCCCTTCCGAAGCCATGGGATGTGCCTGGGTGAGAACGGCTCAGCCAGGGCTGCGGGCTCCCCCTGTTGGGGGTGGTAGCGCCCGGGGTGCCGGGGGATGCGGACTCTTCCATTCGCGCGGAGGGGAGGGTTACTGTCTCTCTGCTGTAGGGGGGACTCGATGGGGCCAGGGGCAATAGGGACCAGTGGGGCGAGCAGCCCCGGGCTGGGTTGGCGCAGCCCCCCAGCACCTCTCGGCCCCCCGGGACAGCTGCCCGGGGGCTGCCCAGCGCGGGGCCGGGGGTTCGTGCCGTGCTCGCTGCGCTGGGGATCGGTGGCTGGCCGGGGGGGCTGGGGTGCGCCCTGGGGACGGGGCTGTGCCGCGCTGGGGTTTGGCATGGAGCCGCCACGGAGGTGGCCGATTTGCGCCGGCCTCGGTGGGGTTTGTGCCGCTGCAGCCGTGGTGGGGAGGCCAGGGTTAGACGCTAGGGGAGCTGGGTGCCTTCATAGGGCAGGGAGGTGGATGCTGCACCGTGGAATTGATTCTGGGGCTAGAAGGAGGCAGCCAGAAAGGAGCAGCTTTGGAGCAGCGTCTGTGCAACACTGAAAGTTAGGAGGGGGCAGCAGCAGGGTTAGGTTCCCACAGTGGGGTTCATAACAGAGCACTGCGGGAGATGCCCCCCACTTCTAGAGTTTATGGGAGTTTGTGCTGGGGAAGTATCTACCTAATGGCTTATAAGAGAGTACCCAAGGAGGTTGGTGACCCATGCTCAGCTTTGTATTAGGGCACCTCAGGCAATATCAGAAAGGGTTTCTGGGGTATGGTATCTGACTTACTGTGTCCCTGAAAATAGTTTGCATCAGTTTTAAATTTATGCTTTATAAGTAATTGAACCCAGCATCCCGCAATAATGGACACGAGAAATTAAATCGCCTTAAATTATTACAATAGTAATAAATCAAACCATAAAACAAAGTAATTCCAAAAGACCTGACCCTTTAAAATCCTTAATTTTCTCAAAAGGCATATTAATTGCCTTAAGCTTATAGCCCAGGAGGGTATACTGCATTCTTTGTTAACTTTTGTCTAGGACTCTACTGGAATGTCATAAGAAAATAACTGTCCTATACTTTGTTGCTTATGCTTTCTCTGCTGATATAATTGAAGCAATATGTGTTGCTGTTGTCTGTGTTACCAGCCTCCAGAGTTGGGTATCAGATGCTTTTTTTAAGTTTGAAAATAGTAAGACAGTTTTTGGCCTTTGGTCTCATTACATGCTGTTGCCCTTTAGGCAGTTGTTACAGTTGTGATCCAGTTATTATTTTTCATTGCTGCTATCAGTATTTTTGGTGTTCTTTTATATCTAATTCTGCCATTTGAAGGTCACGTTTTGCTGTTCCAAACAGATTTTCCTTTTACAGTCCGAGTAACACCACTGCGCTTTGGCTTGTGCTGTCTGAGGCAATGCAGAGAAGGCAATCCACGCTTTGATAACTTGCAGGCTGGATTGCTGTAACCCATCACTCTATGGATTAGCAGATGTATGTACTCAAGTCCTGCATGTATTCAAATTCTCAAGTTGTTTTCTTGATATATATATTGACTAAATTTTGTATTTAATACAAAATTGTTCTGTTGCCATGGAAAACATTTCTATCTGTTTGGACCTGTGTATTCTAGACCCTTCCTACTTCTCACTTTCATCTGCATTTAAAAGCTATGCTTATGCATAACTCAGCTTCCAAATCTGATTGGCTGCATCCTGGAGGCTCAAAGATCTTATGTCTAGGTCATTGGACTTGGTTACTGTGGGCTAGGAATTGTTTTACTGAACTGGTTTAAAACATGACAAGTTTGGCTTGTTAGTGAAACGGGGCCAAACAATGGAATAACCAGATTTAAAGAACATGCTTTAGTCAAGGTACAGACCAAGGCTATAATATTTAACACATTTTGGTGATACATGCTGGCTGAACAGTGCTTGTTCACAGCTAGTTTGTCCACAACTGTACTTAAGCATAGCTTAAATGTGGCTGTGGTTGAACTGGCGGGTGGTTGGGCACTCTGGCTATGGCCAAAAAGTGTTATAATTGTATTCTATTAAAAATAAACAAACCTGTTGTAGCTTAGTTCTGTGCCTGAGCTAAAGCAGTTTTGTTTCAATCTGGTTGTAAAGTGACTTGGCTGCTGTCCACATTGGCCAGCAAAACTGTATTTAAACCAATTGACCCTGATCTACTATAAAAGCCATTCAGCTAACATACTTCCTCATCCCTCGTAGATTGGGGCATTGATCTAGTCTAAAAATCTTTGGGGTCGCAAGCTCCAGAGCTACTTGGATTAGAAATTCTCATCCTTGTTTTGTTTGAGAGGCAGACATCACTGTTTATAAGAATAAGCTGAATATCTCTTTTCTGTGGTTTATCCCATTATAGTTGTCTTGCTATTTTAAATGGATTGTAACGTGCTTTCAGATGCATTGTACGGAAATTTCTTTATCACAGGAGATTGTACTGTTCTTGCTACTATTTACCATATTTTTTCCTCTTCCTTGCAGAGAGAAAATTCCGAGACTGATTCTGGAATCCCGAGGCACATTTTGAAACAAAGTTGGATTTCTTTGTGAACTCTCTGAGCAGTTCCCATAAGTTCCCATAACTTCCCCCACACTGACTCCTGTGGATATTCTGAGCCTCATTCAGACATGGCCTTTCAGAGAACGGAGGGAATGTCCATCATCCAAGCCTTGGCAATGACAGTGGCAGAAATCCCTGTGTTTCTTTACACAACATTTGGGCAGGTAAAAAAAAAAACACAGCTGGATTTTCTGCAGAGTTATTTGGGGTTTTCTTTTACAGGGCTGTCTGCGGCAGTTGTTTTGGAGGGTGATGAACAGAAATAACAGGGTGGTGCTGGGGCAAGAGAAAGGGAGGATTTAACAGTTGCTATGGGGTGATTGCACTTATTTGAGGAATTGGGAATAGAGGCTTTTTCAAGAGGTCAGGTGTCATCTGGGGAGGTTTGGGGAGCATCTTGCAGATGAGAGGGAAGGGGGACACTTGTTGGGGAAGCTTTGAAGGTGGGTTTGGCAGTGGGGAGGGGGTGTGTTGAGAGGAAGGCTGGTCCCGTGGCTAAGGTCATAATCTAGGCCTTGGGACACCTGGGTTCAATTCCCTGCTCTACCTGCATAACCCTGGACAAGTCATTTAGCCTCTCTGTGTCTCAGTTTGTCATCTGTAAAATGGGGATAATAGAACTTCCCTATCTCACAAGGGTGTTGTGAGGATAAGTACCTTAAAGATTGTGAGGTGCTCAGCTACTGCAGTGATGGGGGGCCATATAAGTATCAAACAGAGAGGGGAATTTAGCTGTGAAGTAGGGAAGGGTAGCAGGAAAGTTGAGGATTTGCAGGCAAGTATAGTTGCTGGGGAAAGGAATGGGCACTGTACAGAAACTGCTCTGTAGAGGTTTCAGAGTAGCAGCCGTGTTAGTCTGTATTCGCAAAAAGAAAAGGAGTACTTGAGGCACCTTAGAGGTTAACACATTTATTTGACCATAAGCTTTCGTGGGCTACAGCTCACTTCATCGGATGCATCAAATAAATTTGTTAGTCTCTAAGGTGCCGCAAGTCCTCCTTTTCTTTTTGCTCTGTAGAGAACATTCGGTGTATATTGCTCTGTGTTCCAAGAGCCAGAGTTTTTGTGGAAACACCAAATTTTGATAACTCATTGGGCTGATCACAATTGTACTGACTTTTTTTTAAAAAAAGGTCACCTTTGGCCAAGTAGAAATTGAAATTTTAGTCCCAAGTGTAACAGCTAGTTTTATAAACATCTGGAAAAGTGGGGGTTAGAATTATGGAGGTGTGACACTGTCATAACTCCAAAATTGCTAATGCCACATGCTATTCACCCCACTTTTCTCTGTACCAAGCAGAACCTTTGGGTCATCTTTAGAGACACTCAGATATAGTTTTTGTTATCATAAATGGAAAAATATACTAATGCAACAGTAGGGATAAGACTAACTGCCCCAAAATTAGGAAATCCAGAGTTGAGGTTAATAACAGTAACTGTCTCACATATCAGTATTACAGTAAGTGCTTTCCTAATAATGTACTGCTATTTTGCATTTATTTAAGATTTTATTATGAAGACTTAACTTGACTACAGGAGCTTTAAATCAGGCCCTAAATGGCCCAGACCTAACCCACCTCCCAGCTGTCTAGGCCTTCCTGAACATGCCATCTACCACCTCTTAGTCCTCAGAATGGTGTCTCGGGTACCTCTGCCTGGAAAATGATGGAACTCATTCAGAACACTGTAGTGGGACATGTATATCGTCCCCTCCACTCCCCATCCCTTTTAGCTGGACGTAAAATAATTTGTAGCATCTGTAGTATAACTGATATGTGCGTGGGTGAAATCCAGTCCCCAGTGAAGTCATTGGGAGTTTTTGCTATAGACTTCAGTGGGGCTAGGATTTCACTTCTGGTTTGTTAGTCTGGACCTAGAATCTTCTGAGCAGGATTGCTGAGCCAAACTCCTTCTCCTGTGAAAAATGCCATGGGATCTTTAATATCCACATAGAGAAGGCAGCCCCGGAGGTTTCAAGATCTCATCTGAAATGATTATACAGAGAGCACTGCATGTAAATCCTATAGGACTCTAATTCTATCTGCAGTCTATCCAATAAGATATTCTCTCCTTCACATCTTGTCCTGAACAGTTTAGCGTTGCTGGGCACTATTGAACAGTTGCTGCGTTCTATCCTATGGATGTCTACATTTCACTGGTGGGTAAATCGGTGCCTGTAAAGCACCTTTTGGTCCTAGCTGTCCTGGATTAAAACTGCTGTACAAATGGGTGGTGCAGGTGGTGTTACATTGTTGCTTTCTTATATCTCTTGTGTTTAAAGTCTGTCTTCTCTCAGCTGAGGCTCTCCCCAGGCCTGAGGAAGGTGCTGTTTGCTACGGCTCTTGGGACAGTTGCCATAGCTCTAGCCGCACACCAGCTGAAGCGGCGTCGACGTCGAAAGAGACAGATCACCCCAGAAAAGTGTAGCATTAAGCCTGGAGGAGTCCCTGCCCTCTCTTTACCAACCAAGAAGGTCCCTTCAGTGAAAAAAGGTTGGTATTGCAAAAGCAGTTGCTGGGGGAAGATGCAATGCAATGTTAAAGGAACCTTTGTGTAAGCATTATTGGCTGGGAGGAAAAAACTGTAGGACAGAAGCCCAGGTAGTTCCAAGCAGATGGGTAGATCAGGTTGCTAAAGTGGTTCAAAACACTATACAGAGGAAGAATGAGACTGGGAGGCAAAACTAATCAGACAGTAGCCTAATCGGAGCCACAATGCAGAATAGATAGAATGGGCAAAATCATTACCCTAGAGCACAAGTGATTGAAAAGTGGCTGCAGGGCTTTACAGTGGAGTTTGCTATTGCCATCAACTTTAATACAAAAGGAGACTATCGACTCCACTGTGCAATACTTTCACTCGATGTGTGTGACTATATGCATGCAGTGATCCACAACCCGCATCTGTGTATTGATCTTGGTGACCATGATTTGCTCCATTTGATGCCTATTAGGTGTGGCAGTGGGTTTCTGACAGATTGCTAACGTCATCTGCCCAAAGCATGGGCATTGGCAGCCCTGCCCTGAAATCACCTTCAGCAGTCCTTGGAAGCAGTTAAGGAGGCGATGTAGTCTGGAGGAATGAGGACAGGACTGGGAGTCAGGAGGTTGTGTTTTAAACCCAGCTTTCCCACTAACTTGCTGTGTGACTTGCCCAAGTCACTTCACTGCTCTCTTGGTTCCCCATCTGTAAAATGGAACTAACAATTACCCAGCTACCGCAGGGGGTGTTGTGAGGATTAATTATTGTCTGTACAGCTCTGTGAAATTATGAAGCTCTATAAAAACATTAATTATGAAATCAAGCAAGTTTGCTGGCTGTATACTGCCAAGATTGCTGCTGTGTTTGCACTAACGACGCTTATTTTAGCACTGTACATGGCAGGAGAGAAGTGAGGCATTGATGCATATTATTTCTCCCATAACACTTTCCACTTGTGTACGTCCTTTCATCCAAAGAGGTGAATAAGTATTCATAGTTCCATATTTGATGGGGAAACTGAGTCAGGGGTTAAGTGACTTGCCCAAGGTGACAAAGCTGACTCCCAGCTGTAGCTATTAGAAATACGCTTCCTCCTCCTTCTGCACATTCCTTAACTCAGCAGATCTGTGCTCTGTCACTAACTAATCACAGTTCCCCTCATCATCCAGGACTGCAATGAAGCCATTTTGCTTTGAACCAGATTTTTCTGTGACTGCTACCTTTCTCACCTCAAAAAGAAAAGGAGTACTTGTGGCACCTTAGAGACTAACCAATTTATTTGAGCATGAGCTTTCGTGAGCCACAGCTCACTTCATCAGATTATGATCTCACTGAGAACTGATTCTTCTGGAGATGGCACTGCCCTCTCAGCAGCCTTCTGGAGACCCTTCTTCCAGTGGTACTAACCTGGGGCAGCACAGGACAGACTAGAGTGAGCTACACCACATCTGATTGCATAGGTTCCCTTTTCTGATTGCTGTAAACAGAGTGGGAAGACCTAAAGGCTTGTTTTTACCACCCTTCCAATTACAGGATACTCCAGCAGGAGAGTACAAAGTCCTAGCAGCAAGAGCAATGACACACTCAGCGGGATTTCCTCTATTGAGCCAAGCAAACATTCCAGCTCCTCCCACAGCCTAGCCTCGGTAAGAGACCCTAACACCATTGCTGTCTGCTCTAGCCAGCAAAGGAAGGAGTCGCACCTACCTGCCTACACTTAACAAGATTGTTATTAGTCATCCAGGACCAGCAGAGTGGGTGGAATTTACTTGTCCTGAAAACAATTTGTTTTATGTCAGAGGTTTTGTAGCCCTGCAGGTTGAGGTATTGGCCCTTAAAATTCCATCATTCTGATTACCAGTATGCTTTATTCCTCACCCCTCCAAATGTCAATTCCAATAGGATTTTAGTGGCTACTGATTGGAGATCAGCCAGAGCTAAAAACCAATTGTGATACTGTACCTGGCCATTTTGGGATGTCCCCAATGACCAAGGTAAGAAAAGGAGAGCTTTATAGCAGAGAGAGTAGATGTTGGTTCAACATAATCACTGCAGCCTGCACCAGTGCAGCTTATGTACAAAGTGTAGATGTTTAGGACCCTTCTTCTGCTAGGAAACTTTCTAACCAACATTAAAACTGCTTTGTGCTGTAGCACAGATCCTATTTTAGTCCTTTTAAAGTAGCCTGGACCAGAAAAAAATGATTCAGGTCAAACTACCTTAAGCCTCATAAAACTGGGTCTATACAATGTCTTCAAACGATTTTAAAACATCTCCCCAGTGCAAACAGGCTCAAAAAAAGACAGCTAATAATGTAGACATTGCTTATACCATATACTAGGTCTACACTGGCCATTGTCAGATCTCCCAGCAGTATAGCTCCATTGCGAGTGCAGTCTGGATGCCAGCATTTCTATCACCGTGTTATCTAACTCTATTCAGAACAGGTCTAAATGATGCTGTGTCTTGTCTACACTAATGCTCCCATGAGTGGGGCTGTGAAACAGTGGGAGACTTCCTGAAAGCTGCCAGGGTAGACAAGGCATTCAAGTGGAAGTTACTCGTTAGATCTACTACCAATCCAACTGAAGCATAGGAAGATTTAGGCAGTGAGTTTGTAAAACCTTAGTTTGTAAAATCTAATTTTCTAGCTCCACACTAACTCCTTCAATTCTCCTGTCAGCCTCTCCCTTCATCCATAGGAGAAGAACTGGTTATATAGCTCAAGACTTTTCCATCTTTTTGCCCATTCCCAGCCAACAGCAGAAGTTACCAAATAGATGTACATGTCATTTTTCTTTGTCTCAGAGAAAGGGTGGGTGGGAATAACCCCCTGCCAGATTTTATTGTTATGTTGCACAGATCACAGCTAACTGGAGAGTGAGTAAAAAAGTCAGGGCTTAGCTCAAATAGGCAAGGCGGGGGGGCGGAGGGGGGCACACAACAGCCAGTGAGCTGGCTCCATCACCCAAGCCAATGGCTAAGCAGCAAACTGACGGAGTGGGGGTAGCGGGTAGCCCCCCCTCTTTCCCATGGATGTGTTTCTTCTCTCATTCCCTGGTATTCTTGGTTTCAGAGAAAGGATGGGTGGGAACAAACCCCCCTTCCATGTTGCCAGACTGCACTGTTCCCAAACAATTGGGCTAGTTAATTTGATGTGGTGGGGGAGAATAGCAGAAAAATGATCTTCCACTGAAAGCTAATTTTGGAACCTTGACCTATTTTATTGGGGAAACTTAGGGTGAAACATTTCTGTAATGGGTGAATACAGAGCCACTCCAAGATCCACTTCTGATGTTTGTGAGAGACACGAATAGGGGTTTCTACATGGTATATATTTGCCTCTAACCTAGGGATATCAAACTGACTTGGGGGGAGACCTGAATTCTATTTTTAAATCTGGTTCATAGGTACAGATATACGTTTAGGATCAGATACTTGGCTCTATTCACAGCTCCCACTGATGTCAAGGGGAGGTTGCATAGAGATCAAACGTAGAATCTGAATTTATGTAGTAACTAAATTTTTACTTGTGATCATTATGTATTAGTTCAGTACCCTATTGTCACATTTAGCATTGCTCAGGGGGAAGATGTCCATTTTTAAGACAACTGCTGTTTCTGCCCTTTATTTCTTTTCCATCTCCTGTGTGTGTCTCTCTCTTTCCTTCCCCACTCTTGTGTCTTTCTTTCCTTTTATTCCCTTTGCATTTCCTTCTCTGCAGTAACTCCCAGTTCCCACACTCTGGACTTCCCTTCCACCTCCTTCCCCATTGCATCTGACAAAAGGATCTGCAATGATAAAGCTAACTCTGGCCTTTAAAGTACTGTCAAGATTACAGTAAACAAGATTAATGGGTGGCGTGGAGGGAGTTCACACCTCTTGGAGTGGCTGTTTCAGGCTGCCTGTGGATTCAGGCTTGCACTTAAATACTAGGGACACATTTTAAAAGTCTTTGTTATTTCTTTACAGTCCTGAGGGTTAGAAACCACTTTTTAAATGGAAGTGGAGATTCTTCAGAATCTGCATATGCAAGGTGGCTAGATCCTGTTTGTGGACCAAGGGTTTGACAGCATTGCTTTAGCCAAAGGTCCTGAAGAGGGGGAGGGGATGGTAGGTGAAGCAGTTTCTATTCTTACCTTCAGAAGTTCCCACCTTGTTAAGGTGAACAGGGGTGGGGAAACTAATCATTGGTGCTATTGTTTGGTGGTAGGTTCCTGTAAGGCTGCTAAAGTGCAGGGGCAGGCTCTGCCCTCTCACATTCACCACCAGTCATTTCATAGTAGGTAGACTGGAAGGGAGACACCAGATAGATTCCATTCCTGCTTCTGAAACATGGTGAGTGCAGTACCTATTCGGAGACAGGTATATTCTCTAGCATACTTGGACTCAAAACCTTGGGCCTCAGCTTTGTGCAAGGCAGGGTAAGTGGACTCCATCTATAATAGAAAAGCGATTCAAATGCAGTTTGACTTCTTTAAAACGTACGATTTATAGTTAGAGCGACTTCTGAATCTATATATTTTTTCACGTACAGTCAAATACTCTCCAAACAAGTGAGCCGTTCTGCTCTCCAGCATGTTTTTGGCAAGGGGAGTGCAGGGCTGCTGAGATTTCCCCCTTATGTTTTGTACTAGTTACTTCTCGAGTGCTACTCTGCTGTTCTGTAAATCAGGATTCACCAGCGGGATGAGTTAGAAAGCACAGTAAGAAGTGGATTTAAGAGATGTGTAGGTTCAGAGAGAGAAGAGAATTCACTTTAGACAAAAACGTACCCTAACTTCTGGTAAGCTTGATGACTCCTCCACTCCCCATTTCCCTTTGACAAAATGTCTTCCAAGCCTCTTGCTAAAGCCGTTCTATACTTGGTAAGTTCCTGGGAGAGTTGAACCTGTGTCTTTTTTCTTGCAACCTCCAGAAGTTCAGGATTAAATTTATTTCCATGGAACTGTAGTGTTAGCCAGGCTCTGGGCAATACTGATCATTCTTTCTGGTTTTCTTGACCTTGGGATTAAGGAGACCTTATCATTAAACTGCTGAGGTGAGTTTTCAACTCATTTGGCTCTTGAAACTCCATCCTTGAGCTCTGAAGACAGGAGAGCAGAATTAGCTTCTCTAAAACATCATACCGTATCCCCAAGATCATATCCTCCTCCTCACATAGCGTCCCCTAGAGCAGCAGTGCAGCATAACCACCTGGAATCCCTACTTTCCAGTAATGCAAAACAAATTGTAACATAATGGTTCATGAGAGATGAGCAACTAAAATCACATCTGAATTGCATGTGGGGAAGCAAAGTGGTAAACAGAATTACGTGATTTTTAAATCTCATATTTTATGACTTGCTGTGGCTAAAACAACTGCTGTACAATCACATGCAATGTCAGTATCCTACAGCCTTTGAACCCAGCCCTGATGGCTTGCAATATCAGATCTAAACATGCTTTTATGGCACTAGCCAGGCACACTGAACTAAGACCTAGAACGTGCATCACTTGCTTCTGCTCAACCCCCAACTACAGAGGCAGTTTAAGATTTATTCAGGCCCTGGGCACAAAGAACATTGGGGGTGCCCCCACACCTCCATCCTGGGGTCCCATCCCCTGCTCCTCCCCTTCCCCCCATGGCCCTGCCTCCTGGTCTGGCCAAAAGTCAGGCCATGGTAAGAGCTGCACAGGGAGTCTGGGCTGCTGTGAGGAGCCCTGGACCCTCCACCTGTCCTGGGGGGCATGCCCTGGGGGGCAGGGACACAAGCCAGGGGCTGCTCTCTCCTCACAGCTGCCCGGGGGGGCTCTTTACTATAGTCGAGGGTGACCATACATCCTGTTTTGGCCAGGATAGTGCCCTTTTTAAGCCCTGCCCAGGGCGTCCTGACTTTTTTGGCAAAACTGGGCATTTGTCCATCATCATCAGTTGGCAAGAGCAAAGGGGACAAATGCCCAGTTTTGCCAAAAAGGGATGGAGTGGGGGCAGCTCCACATTGGGGGGGGGAGGGGCGCAGGGGTCCCCTAGAAGGGAAGATTACAAATATAGGGAGCAAAGGAGCAGTGTGTATATATATTTAAAAGAGAGGGGGAATTTTGGCTGTCTAAAAGGCCCATTCAAATAGGGAAGGAATGAGTCTGAGTGAGGGTGAGAGGGGAGCAGAGAAAAGCCTACATAGCTTATGTATAATGTATGGGGCTTGCTGAAAAAGTCTTTTTTAAAAAAAGGCTATGGGGGAAAACCAGGTATTTACTGAAGACAACAAAGGAACCATGTACAGTTGCTGAACTTTATTTTACTGCCTTTATTTTTTTAAATGAGTTAGAACTGCCTATCTTATTGCAACTGGTTTAATAAAGAAAAACATGTCATGATTTAAAATACTTCAGTTATTCCTGTTTAACTTAGATACAAGATGTAAACCTTCCGTTTTAAGTGGTTTGAGAAGCTGTTGTAGTCAGAGTGACTGAACACAAGCTGTTCAGCCAAAAAAATGAGTTCTCTTCCTTGCTAGGTGATCATTTGCTTGTTGCATAACTGCATTATCTGAGTTTCCACATTATAAAATGATTTTTACTTACTTAATCTCCCAGCAAGGAGTGAGGATTAATTAGTTAGCTTTTATAAAGCAGCTTGAAGTTTAAAAACACTAACTGTAAGCTACATATTGATTGGAAAAATACTAGATTGTAAGCTGCTCAGGGTGGGAGCCTTGTCTCTTTACATGTCAAAGAATCAAACACTATAAAACAATATAAACTAGGCAGCATAGAAACAAATATGAATGAAAATAAATGATTCAGTGCACTAAAAATGTGGCTATCTTAAAGTTGTCATCTTGTCAGTTGAATTAATAACCTAGCTGATACTTGTGTCAGTAGCTTTGGAGCCTGTAGTTTCAGGTGAGTGAGTGGACAGTTGCAGCTGTCTATACACATAATACAGCATTATGCCAGAGAACTCTGCCTAAGTGCCAAATATTGTAATAGCTGAGACATAAGGTTTTTTATTGAAATAATATCTATTGTAAGTGTTGGAAACTGGCAGTTAAGGCTCTTGAGTTCTCTAACTGGCAGTTATACTTGATTCACTTTGTGCTCGACTGTAGGCAATTCACTTAACCTCTGTGTGTTTCACTATACCCATGTGTAAAATGTGGGGAAGGAGAGGTCTTGGGGATCCAGCTCCACGCAGGAGGGAGAGGGGCTTGGATGGGGTGGCCCAGCTCCATGTGGGAAGGAGAGGAGCTGGGGCGGGGGGGAAGGAGAGGGCTTGGGGGGCAGCTCCACATAGGGGGAATATGCCCAGTGCTCACCCTATCTCAGCTCCTGTGTTGGGCCTGGCTGGGGGCGGGGTCTCAAGGGGGAAGAGGAGGAGCAGGGTGGCAGGGCCCTGGGGGGAAGGAGAGGAGGCCAGGGGACAGAGTTCCAGCTTGCAGGGGGCACCCGGGCATGAGCCCATTCAGTAATCCACCACTGCCCACGCAGGAACATGTGATTGGAAAGAACAGAATGGAGTTAATCTCAGGCACAAGTTCTCTCTCTAGTATTTTTCACTGATAACCTGCTCCCTCTTTTGTTTACAGTTGCTTCCCCATCTATTGCCTTCCTCTTTAAGTGCGGCTTGGGACCACCATTTATTTCCGTGCAGTCCCTCCTCCCTTCCCCTTCTTGGAGCAACTGTCTTAGTGTTTCTCTCCTCCCCTTTTTTCGTCGCCCTCCCCAGCATTCCAGGCAAGCATGCCAAGGATATGCCTATACTTTGAGCTCAGAGCGTGATTCCCAGCTCAAAGACGTATACCTGTACAGCCAAATTTAAGCTATGCTTAAGTTCTGTTGTAGAAATTAGCTTGGAACAACCATTGGTCAGACAACATCTATGAACAAAATGTGTTAAATCTTCTAGCCTAGGTCAGTACTCGCAGTAAAGCATGTTCTTTAAGCTTTGTTGTTCCATAGTTTGGCCCATCACACTGACAAGCCAAACTATTGCCATGTTTTAAACCAGTTCAGTAGAACAATTCCTAGCCCACAGTAACCAGGTCCAATGACCCAGACTGTAGATCTTGGAGCCTTCAGAGATGGAGCCAATCATATGTGCCTATGGTCTCTGATGGGCGCCTACTTGGGGTGGCTAGCCCCTCCTTCTGCAGCTACACTCTATTGTTAAAAGAACGAGGAATAGTTGTGGCACCTTAGAGACTAACAAATTTATTTGGGCATAAGCTTTTGTGGGCTAAAACCCACTTCATCCAGATGCATGGAGTGGAAAATACAGTAGGAATATATATATATATATATACACACACATATATATACACACACACAGAGAACATGAAAAGATGGGGGTTGCAATACTCTTACTCTAACTCCATGCATCCAATGAAGTGGGTTTTAGCCCATGAAAGCTCATGCTCAAATAAATTGGTTAGTCTCTAAGGTGCCACAAGTCCTCCTGTTCTTTTTGCTGATACAGGCTAACACAGCTACCACTCTGAACTCTATTGTTAGCGCACTAGCTTGATCAAAGCTAGTGCAGATGTATCTCCTTAAGCTGAGGAATCACCCACCCCCCAGCTCAAAGTGTAGACATACCCCAAAGTGAGCATGGCTTGGTCATTGCTTTGTAGTGGGGTCAGGTAGATGGTATTGTAAAAACACTGCTTTCTTATGTTTAAAGAGGTTATCAGGCTCCTGGCTGGAGGAGGGTTTGCCTAGTTTCAGAGTAGCAGCCGTGTTAGTCTGTATTCGCAAAAAGAAAAGGAGGACTTGTGGCACCTTAGAGACTAACCAATTTATTTGAGCATAAGCTTTCGTGAGCTACAGCCCACTTCATCCGATGAAGTGCCACAAGTACTCCTACTCTTTGCCTAGTGAATGGATTTTGTCTGTTGCGTTAGGATCTGGTGAAGCACTGGGGCCCTCCGCAGCTCCCTGTGAAGTAGCTGTTGAGCACCAATGTCTTGCACTAAAGTTTATGGACACGCAGAACTAGAATGGATTTGGATTGCATAGCACCGATATCCCTGCCATCTACATCTTCAGTATTTTCACTTTGGAAAAGCAAGAGAATACTGAAAACAACCCTGAAAATTGCAGGAGAGACTGAGGCGATGTCTACACTATGGGCATGACAGCAGCACAGCTACGGCCCCATAGCTATGCTGCCATAGTGTAGATGTTTCCTATAGAGATAGAAGGTGTTTTCCATTGCTGTAGGTAATCCACCTTCCTGAGCAGCAGTAGCTAGGATGATGTCTACACCTTATGTCTACGGCATACTTGAAGGAAGTTCTAAAAGGAGCTGCTGTTCTTTCTTCTCTCTTCACGGGATAGATAGTGGCTGTGAACTCTTCCAGCCCAACACCAGCATCTACAGGGCCCTGGGAGACGAGAGCAATGGAAGATCCTGGAGCAGCTGGTGACTCTAGTGCTGAAAACCTCTATATTCAAGGTAAACAAAAATTAACCTTACCCTGAAAGACTACTCTCACAACATAAAGGGATTTGGAGTACTGTCTCCATGTTCATTCGGTCCTTGCTCCACCAATAGATATGAACACTGTCTCCTCCTGTGCTTAACATCAAAATTGTTCCACCAACAAACTGTTGTTCACCTGGAGAAATCAGTTTCGTCTCCTTGGATGAGGAATGGTGATGATTTCATTGAATCCTAACCCAAATGAGACAATCTCCAGAAGGGAAAGAAATATCTGATACTGCCCTGTATTCTATTGGTTCAGGCTGCAAATGGGTTTGGGACGAGACTTCCCTCTTCTCTTGAATACTCTGCCTCACAAATGAGCAAGGCATCTTACTGGTTTCTACATCCTTTTGCTGTGTAAGTGGCTCTGATTTCACTGCTTATGTTTTGTTGCATTGCCCAGGGATGGAGCTGTTTGAAGAGGCGCTGCAGAAGTGGGAGCAGGCATTGACCGTAAGGCAGAGAAACAATACTAGCACACCAGTCTCTTGGGACAACAAAAAACATGAAGAAGCTATGTCTGAGGAGTTGCCTGAGGTACGTACCAACCTCTCCTCTACAGTATCCAGCCAGTGAACGTTGTGAAGGGCCAGATTGGACGGGAGAAGGGGAGGTCATCAGTAGGAGACTAAACATTGAAAAGCAAGTTTGGAGGAGCGTGAACTAGGCAAGGGAGTATCTGGTATGGCTAGGACCCATCCGTAACCACTTGTAATTTCATGATATAGCTTTGCTGGAATTAGAGAGATGTGTTTCCAACATTTTTGGCTAAATCTTTTTCCTAGTGAGTTTTCCACCAGTTGTAAAAACTCACAGTGACTTAAGACAGAAGATTCTTTGTCAAACTTCAGAGTTAGTTATTGCTTGGAAAAGAACATTACAGGGAAGCCTGTGTGGCCTAGTGGCTATGACACTACATTGGGACTTAAGAGACCTGGGTTCAATTCCTGGCTCCACCACAGCTTTGCATCTTTATGCAAATCACTTACCTCTTTATGCCTCCATTTCCCCATCTGGAAAATGGGGATAATACTAACCTTCTTTGTAAAGCACTTTGAGATCCGTAGATGAAAAGTGTTAACAAAGAGCTATGTATTATTAATTATTGTTAAATACAGCAACAAACTAGGTTAAGAATAGTTTGTCTTGCCCAATGTTATTTCTCTTTTTAATGCCTTTAAAATGGAGGGTCTAGCTAGATTGGTGGCCAAGATTGTACTGAAATGGAAAAGCTAACTAGAGGAAAACAAATGTGAGGATGGACAATTAGAGCTCTTTCTCTCAGCTATTAGAGAAAGGGAAAGTTAAGAGAAAATACATGCCAAAATACTCACTTAGAAGAAGAGAGTTGCAGGCTTATCCAGTCACCTACAAAATGGACAGTCTAAGGCTGCAATTGGCTGTCTCCCCCAGATTTAAAGGGTCAACTACCATAGGAGGGAGCATGCTGGGAAAGGCTCTTATAAAAGGGTGCACCCAAAGTAGAACATTTTAGTGGTGACTAAATAGCTAAAGAGATAGCACCTGCAGGTAATGAAAGAGGCTAAATTCTGAACTCTGTAGAAGTTAGGGATACTGATGTAACATACCCTGAGATTCTTCTAAAACAGAACCCAGTATCTTCATTATGTGGGATGTTTATCTTTTGTGTTCTATTATGTTTATGCAAGTCAAATCTGGATTCTTTTTGATATTTGCTGTGTGTGCTTGAAGTGTCCCCTTGTGTTTCTACAGCTAAATTAAGAGTTGCTTCATAATCAAAACACACCTGGTCGTTTTATTTAACTCTTCTAGCTGAGGGCTTAGATCTCTATGAAAGTGAAGATCTAAGCAAAGTATAATGAAGGTAGACATTGTGTAAGCTTTTATTTCACCCACTCACTGATCTTACACAACTGTGCTAACAGCAGACTTCACTCCTGTCTAATAACAGTGAAGTTGATCTGCATTATTCTGGTGTCTGGCCTGTGAACAGAGCAAATTAATGCAGACTTCATGGAATAAACAAACCTCTACTTGAGACTAGACTGAGATCATTGAATTTTTCCTTGTGACTGATAGCTCATTATAACTGTTTCTACAGGTGATAGGTTAATGTACTATTTCCTCTTAAATGGATAAACAGCATAAGGAAAAAGTTGTAATTTGGAGTGTATTGCATACAAGCTGCCCTGGTTTTATTGCAAGTTTAACCTGAAGTGAATCTTTAATTAGTTCAGTTCATGAACTTAACTAGAATTGGTAAATCATAACTGTTGATGCAAAATTTCACGTCAGTACTTTGCTTTAAGCATCTCTAACAATTGTGCTATGTCAGCAGTACAACTGGCTATTGAGGGATAGTGTCTGCTTATGTTTAAGCAGGAGTCCCAGAAAAAGGAGTTTGCAGAGAAGCTTGAATCTCTCTTGCACCGGGCATATCACCTTCAGGAAGAATTTGGGTCAACGCTCCCTTCGGACAGCATGCTGCTAGATCTGGGTAAGGTGGGTCTGGGAGTCAACTGTAGGTGCAGCCATGAGAATATGCTAAAGCCCCACCATGGGGTAGAACTGAGCTCTATAGAATCTTAATAGAAGATGAGTATCAAGCCTTTCCATGAAATTCGAATGTTTTATTTGCCAAGGCCTCAACAAATTCCTCCTGGCAGGGTAGGGATGGCTGTTACAACAGCGTTTGAGTTTAATGGTGTTATAGGATGGACAGATAAGAAGATAAAACACCTTGACTTGTGTGCAACCTGTGAACAACAGCAGTGGAAACATGCAGTGCGTTGTAGTGTACCAGCTGCTGGTCCTGGGTTTCAAATTATGTCTTTGCCTGCTAGACTGAGGAAACTAATGAATCTAGCTCTGAGACCCTTTTTCTTTTCCTAGTCATAGATAAGAGTTGATGGGAGAAAGACTTAAAGGAGAAATACAGGTTTCCGGTGGAAAACAGTATTTGAATTAGGAAGCCAATGGCTTAGCTCCATATTATTTCTTAATAGACCTCATGTACCATACGTCTCTCCTGAAGGCCCGCTAGATCTCTTTAGTTGAGAATGTCAGGGAAGTGACAAAAAAAAAAGAGGACTTGTGGCACCTTAGACTAACAAATTTATTTGAGCATAAGCTTTTGTGAGCTACAGCTCACTTCATCGGATGCATAAACAGGAATTTCAAGATGGCCACAAAGGGGCACTGCTGCCACATAAGGACTTGCATATAGGGAAAAGTGTGCTGGGTGGGAGGAATGGAGTTTTAGAGATACAGTGCTAAACTTATACTTTTCTCTGCCCCCTCCAGAGAGAACTCTCATGCTTCCCCTGACAGATGGGTCACTGAGACTTCGGACAGATGACGAAGACAGTTTGACTTCTGAGGACTCCTTCTTCTCTGCTGCAGAGGTGACTCAAACTCTATCCTTTGTAAATAAACCAATCGAACATTACTTAATTTGCTGCATTGGGAACTTGCCCAGGCTGGTGGATCTGCCATGTTCCTAATGCTGGGTAGAGTATGAAGATGGCCATGTGTTTACTTTATCTAGCGGCATGTAGTAGTAGCTAGAAAAGTACTGTAAAAGCAGCTGCAGCACCCACTAATATGGCTTGTACTACAGATGTAGTAGAAGAAGGAATTGGGCCATGCTGGGCTAAGGAAGTTGTGATCCAATCAGAATGGGAGTTTCAGTGGTGTCTGAATGTCTTGGTGTGAAAGTGTGCATACCAATGCCTTCTCAAACTGATAGACTGTAATCTCTTGTTTCTGAAGTCCAGGGTTTGCACAGATATAACAAAAATTTTCTTCTGACCTCTTCTGCTTTCTCTGCAGCTCATTGACTCCCTCCAGATTGGGAAAATACCTTTTCAGCTTTCCAAGCCAGCAGCTGCATACGAAGAAGCTCTACAGTTGGTGAAAGAAGGGAGCGTTTCATGCAGAACACTAAGGTGAGGTGCTAAAAGGAGTCTTCAATCCGTATGACAAGACTCCTTTAGCTAGAGGTATGAACTCCTCAGGTTACTTAGTAAGGGCTTGGCATGGGGGTTAGAATACCATTTTGAGAGAGAGAAGTTTTTTAGCACCTTCTCTGTTGGCTTGGAAATTCCAAGGGGGTTTTAACTAGCCCAAGACTTCAGATGGTGCTTGGGTTTGTTTAACTTGATTCAGGCTGGATGCATCCTCATTGTGAGAAACACTCTAAGATTACTAATTTCCTGGGGCAGTGAGCTACTGCACCTTTCACCTCTGGGTTGTTGGCTCAAATCTAGCTATGGAATGTAATGATCAAAATGACTACCTGAAAGTGGCTCAGTGGCTTACATGAAAGGAGCTAGTGGTTTCAGTTAGTGCCTACTGAGATTTTCAAAGGGGCCTAAGGGAATTAGGAGCCCAAATTAGGACCATCGTCTCTGCCTCTTCAGGAAACTTGTTTTGTTACTGGAGTTTGTAAGATCCTGCTTTCCTCTCTTAGGACAGAGCTTCTAGGCTGCTACCATGATCAGGATTTCCTGGCAAAGCTGCACTGTGTCAGGCAGGCATTCCAGGTAGGAATTTTCTAGCTATCAGAACTCTGTTGCATCTGCACTTAAGAGGCTTCCTGACTGTTAGAATATGTGTCACTTCCAGTATCTGTCCTTGTGAATTAAAAGGGGCTGTCAAGCCTGTCCTAGACACTGAAATCCTCCACTTCTACAGAACAAGTAAAGCATAGAAAGCAGCAGTGCAAACTTCCCTTATCCTACATCTTCCCCAAAATGTGTTTCAACCCTTTCTCTAGGAGTGACAGGATAGTTCAGGCTCTGTGCCCATTCAAGATGTGGCTTTGTAGCCAAGGCAGACACCAGGTTTGCATATAGCAGTTCTTATAATAAAGTTCTTGGTTATTTGGGAACTGTCTGGAGACTACCAAACTTGCTTCACCCAGGCTGCTTGATGGTAACTGGCCTGGAGTTGTACCTGTGACTGTGGCGTAAAAGGCTTTCTATCCTCAGCTCCTTGAGTAATATCTTTAGGCTGCAGGTGACTATGTACCTCCCAGATCCTTGCATCATCAGAGTGCAAGAGCTCACATACTTTTTTTTTTTCTTGCCACTCCCAGACTTTTCCAGCATTCTAGGCCTATATCCTACAGGAAGGAAGTCTTTTACTTCATCTTCACCTTTACCATGCGGCCTTCTGTTTTGCTTTTATGCACCTCACCTTTTTAAGCCTTAGCACTGTGATGATCCTCTTTCCAGCCGGGGAGGACTGGATACTTTTTCTTTACGACATCTCTGAATAATCAGTAGTTGACATGAGGAGTTGCTGAGTGACTTGAAGGTAGTAGATCAACTAGAAGCACAGGCTTCACAGAGCTCATTGCCTTGGGCTGAATAGATTCCACTATTTAAATTCATGTCTGCTCTCAGGCCAAGGAAAAAGTGAAATCCACATTTGGCTCTTTCACTAATGTAGGAACCCTCCTATTGTCTCCTGTCTCCACCGTCATGGAATAAGGACTTATGTTTACGAAATCAGTGAAAGATTCTTCTTTGGTCTCTTTATAGGTCCTTCTGCAGGATGAGAGCAACCAGTTGTTTTTTGGGGAGGTTGGAAAGCAGATGGTGACAGGATTAATGACAAAGGCTGAGAAGGTAGGAGGGCATATGAGTGGGAGACCACTCAGTTGCACCTTGTATGAGCACCTTATAGACACAGTTACTCAGTCCCAATTTCAGGTTAATCCCTGTGATTTCCCCCTCCCCCTGTCATTACTGTGATCACCCACTTGAAAGGGAAAAAACAGTTCCCATGTTTGCCCTCTCTTCACTGGTTCTTCCTGGGAGAAACTCTGTATGCAATCTCCTCTCCAAAGCCACCATCACTGATGTTGAGGTTCATCAGTGGGAAGGGGTTCCAGGGGGCTCCCAGTTGATGCCCACTGGGAGGGAGGGAGAAGGGGAATCAGGCACTCTGTACAGTGCATCTGTTCTGTAGAGGTCAATGAGTCGGAATCTTTAACGTGGCGTTTATTCATTAAACCAACCTCTAGAACAGTAAGACTATGCTGCCTTGCTAATGCATGAAATGGTAGCTTGTTACTGGAATCAATTAGTCACCTATAAGGATGTCTGCATAGATACTTATATAGCTTTCATCATAGTATCCAAGTGCATACAACATACAAGCTTCAAGTGGTGGTGGTCTTGTGGCCACCACACCTTCCAGAAATAAAATCCTTCTCTTTCTGCAAATGATTGTTGGCCAAAAAAATTAGGCGAGTACTTAATTATGTGTAAATCGTTTTGACATATTCAGATCAACAGGCTAGAGAAATGCTTTATAGTAACCTGAGACTGTGTATCGCTTCTAATTGTTCCCATTGTCTCATTTCCCTGTTCTCATGAAGAACCCCAAAGGTTTTCTGGAGTGCTATGAGGAGATGCTACATTACGCACTGAAGCAAGACACCTGGCCAACTACTCAGCGGGAACTGGAAGGACGAGGGGTTTGTAGAGGAATTCTCTCTCTAGAAAGATAGAGCTGAAATGAAAGCCTGAAACAATGTTCTAGAAGGCCCAACGGTGAACAGAAGTTCTAAATTAAATACCTTGGTACTCACCACTTGGTGTCACTGGACCCCAAAGCTACAGTGGTTAACTTACAACTATTTTGCAATAGTTTATGGGAGGGGAGACTCCAGCTCTTAACACCAGGAAGTTAAATTGTGGCAACTAAAGGTACCCAGTATTCCAACTCTTTATCTGCAAATGGCTTTGTAGTTAGGCCTGTAACACAATGAGTAGGGAAAATACCTATCCAGGGCTGTAGCTGTCTTCAGTATAACTTAATACAGCAACAAAAATCTGATTATAAATTCTTTCTGAACCTGTTTCTCCTGAGTGGCACTACTACAATTGTAAAGCTTGCAGCTGTATTTGGTTTCAGTTGGTTTTGAATCTGCTTATCCTTAACACAAGACTAGTAGGGCAAACTCTTGCTGGTTTAAACTTCAAACCATTGAACTGAAATCAGTGGAGTTGTGCCCTCTTACACCACTGGTCAGTTTGGCCCTTTTTAACTAAAGAATTCATAGTCCATTTTTCAGATGGTACCTCTTTGGTCTGAGTTCCTTTCTATAAGCTCTTGTCTGTGACTCGTCTGTTCTCTGGCAGGTGGTGTGCATGAATTTCTTTGATATTGTGCTGGACTTCATTCTCATGGATGCTTTTGAGGACCTAGAGAACCCTCCTTCCTCTGTCTTAGCCGTCCTGCGCAACCGCTGGCTCTCAGACAGCTTCAAGGAGACGGTGTGTTAAATGGTGGTTCTTGTTCCAAATGACTATTTCACTATTAGAAGGACAAAAAAAAGAGAATCAGGCTTTCTGATTACACAGAAGTCTCTTGAAGGAACAATCCTATTTTTCTGTCCCTCTACCAACACATGAATTGGCCAGTCTCTTGATAGATCTGAGTAATTTATAGGGAATCTGTGTTCGCTATAGCAGGTTCATTCCTTTAGCAGTTATTCTCTGTAATAATATTATGTTAAAGAATAATGTGTGTAGACAGCAGACACTTAGCCATCACCTTCCTAGCTGTTAAGGAAATAATACTTTCCTGTACTTTGCAACTGGGAGGGTAGTGGCTCAGTGTCTACTGCTTTGCAGGTCTTTCTCCATTGGAGACCCTACCAAAGTGAATCCTGAGTATTAATGCATTTTCTTAGATCTAGCTGTCCTGCATACCTTAGACTGTCTAATCTGCAGGGAGCCCCCAAAAGCGTATCTGTTTAGAAACCATGGCACTCTTACTGAAGTTCCTATGATTCTGGTTTCCAGTCTTGCTTATTGAAAGCAAATCTCAATATTCCAAATTAACTGCCTACAATACTATACAGTAACAATGGCCACAGACTTCACAAGTTAATGGTGTTTTCCATTTTACATGGGCTGTTTCATTGTTGGTGAAGTGGTGGACTAAAATTCTGTTTATGATCTGCATTCTGGAGTAACTGGGGGCCTCCTTCACTGGATGCTATTAGGGGTATTCATAAGCCTGTGGCTGGTCTGGAATGGATTTGAAGTGACCAAACGTGCTTTCAGTTTACATAAGTTTAACTTTGGAATTTAGCAGGGACCCTATCTGTCACTTGGTAAAGGGCTGCAGAATGGTGGGAACAAGTAATGCTCCATGCCATAGTGATGGCAATATATTGGTAAGTTGCATCCTGTTCTCTGGAAAGGCTCACACCATTAAATGATGTTGGGTTTTTTAATTGCAGGCCCTAGCAACTGCCTGCTGGTCAGTTCTGAAAGCAAAGAGGAGGCTTCTAATGGTAAGTAAAACATAAAAATAAGGTGTTGTGGGCGAATGTGAGAGAGATGGCGGGGGGAGATACTGCGGGGGGAAGGAGGAAGGAACACAAGGCACCTGGTTGTTACCAAGATATGATCTGGACCCTGGTGAAGCATGAATCTAGATGTAATTTTTACAAGAACAGACTAAATTGTCCTATTACCCATATCTGAAACAGCAGGAGTCCACTGACACCTTTGCTGAAGGGACCTCTGAGATACCAAAGCACTCTTACTGAAGTTCCTATAATTCTGGTTTCCAATCTTGCTTATTGAAAGCAAATCTCAGTATTCCATATTCATTGCCTACAATACTATAGTAATGGCCACAGACTCCAAGTTAATAGTGGTTCCCTTTTATGTGGGCTGTTTCTTTTTTGGTGAAGGATGGACTAAGGCTACTTACCTGCACCCCTGCTGGCAGCATTGCTCGCTGGTTGGCTGATTAGATTTTGCTCACTGTATTTTCCCTTTTCACTAACTCTCTGCTGCTTTCCAAACGTGCCCTGTCATCACAGATGAGCCTAGGAGACTGAGAGTCAGGATCTCATGAGTTCTAATCCAGTTCTGCCACTCACTCCCTGGTCTCTGGGAAGTTATTTAAATACAGTGCCATAATCAGTCAGTAAATGAGGATAATGCCTGCCTCACAGGGGTGATGCAAGGCTTAACTAACATTTGTAAAATTCCTCGAAGATGTACTGCTCTAGGTAACTATTAAGTACTGGTGCTGTCATGTGGCAGTGTCTCCAGGTCCTTGCTGTAGTACTAAAAATCATTCAGACCACTGGGGACTTAAATTATTTCATCCAATTTCTTGTGTTAAGTGGAAGATTAGAGATCTTGAGCCGTTTCAGGACCATGAAGGTTGCCTGATAGCTGAAGGACTCTTGCAGGCCTCCGTTGTCTTGTACTACTTTCTCCATCAAAGGGCAGTTTAAAAACAGCAAGATATAGAAGTTCTGTAAGATCTCAAAGTATCTGAATGATGGGTGTCTAACTTTGCAAGAGGGGTGGCTGAATAAGTCTCTTTTGTAGCTTCTCTTCCCAACTTCAACGTCTTAAATGGGTGGACTGTAGCAGCTGTTTTAACAGTATGTGGTAACACAGCGCTGCCTTGTCATACACAGGACATGTGCATTTAAATTATCAGATGAGGATGCCTAATGTAAAGTGGATTAGCTTGTAAATTCTCTCTCAGAGCAAAGATGAGATCTGGATTTCTTTCCCATGACAGGTACCAGATGGCTTTATCTCTCATTTCTACTCCGTATCGGAGCACGTCAGTCCTGTTCTAGCCTTTGGTTTTCTGGGGCCCAAACAGCAGCTGTCTGAGGTCTGTGGTTTCTTCAAGGTAAGCTGGCCTTCTGTACCTTACTTCTTTATATATTGGTTCCATCTTCTGGCTTGCATCTGTGACCATGTATTCATTGAAGGGCCTCTATTGGAGTAACACTAAGGAACTTGGCTTAGTGTAATCTGGTTTGTCTTTGCTTTTTTTTAAATCAGCAGCCTGCATGATAAGATTTATAAGAATTCTTATTAGAACTTGCTGCTAACCATGCTACTCCTGTAAGAACATACAAAATGAGACACTGGACAAAATCTGTAACTTCAGAATAGATTAAGGGTACACATGTATATATTCCATTTTAATGTATTTCTTATCAACTCAGAGGTCAGCCAGAAGCTTAAGATCATGTGGGGCCCATATTTGATCTTAAATTCTAAATGTCTCTGTTCTTTCTAGATTCTTATTTGACTCTGCCTAACATGGAACATTTTTCTTAAATGTTAATCTTACAACACAGTTGTCATGAAATATTACCACAGAGTGTGATCACATTCCTGACTCCAGGGAACCTGCTCTGTGCTCTCTCCCTCCCCTGTTTTCTTCAAGGGATGTCAATCTTTGTCTCCTAAAACAAAATTTCCGACCTCACAGGAAACTGACAGGGTTGCTTTAGCAAGAGAGTTGGTACAGTCTGAAATAGACCTTTTGTGTGTCTGATGGGGAAACTTGCAGAATCCCATATGGAATATACTCTCTTAGGGCTAGGCAACTGACATGTATCAGCTTGACTTTGGGTATGGTGGGGGCACATCTCCTTACTATAAACATTCCCCCTCTTTTTGCAGCACCAGATAGTGCAATATTTGAAGGACATGTTTGACCTGGACAATGTGAGATACACAACAGTGCAGTTGCTGGCAGAAGACATTCTGCAGCTGTCACGGCGGCGCAGTGAGATCCTCCTGGGATATTTGGGTAGTGAGACGACCCCAGAAATGAATGGGACACTGTCCAGTGAAAATGGACCCTTGGATGAGCTCAACTAATATTGAATTAGGGGAGAAAATCCATTTTCTTAAGAGACCTTTTTCTAAGAGGTAGCTACACCACCTGTTGTGGTAATCAGTGGCAACAAAACTATTTCATCCCCTGACATCACTGGACCTGCCCAGAACTACTACTTTTTGTGGCCAGTAGTGTTGGCTGGAATAGCTCCAGGACCACGCACAGGCTTATGATTTGAACCTCCTGTTGTCTATACCACATCTTCTGTTTTTTAAAAAATTTCTTTAATTGTGACATAAACTGCCTGGGCCCAAGATCCTACCCTCCCACATTACAAGGGGCAGCAGACAAGAACCTTCCCTCCACTATGTGTTCTCCGGGAGCAGATCCCTGATACTTGCAGGGAGTAGGTGGGTAGGTAAAATGGTGACAGGTTCTCGCCTTGGCGCTTACCTCCTCTTTGATTGAGAAGGTATTTTTAAAAGTGACTTCTCTGCCATGTCTCTCTGGACATTACTGCTGATTTTAACGTATAAATTTTATGGTATACAACGCTACTTTCAGATATGATGGAGAGGAAGAGAAATAATTGTTTCCTGTGGGGAGGAAACATGCTTCTGTAAAGCACTGAAGACTAAAGAATGGAAGTAAAATGCAGATTTTGTAATGACAGACGCTGGAAGGGAGTTTGTCCTTCATCCCTATGTGTTGTTGCTTTTGTAAACTAGACCCTTTCACTGGGGGTCTCATTGAGATACCATTGCAGCCTATAATAGGCATCCTGAGAATGGTGGTTGTAGGAAGGGGTTGGACTTGTATCCTGATTATACATGCATAAATATTTCCTCCAATATACATCAGAGTGCCTTGCTGTATTTCAGAATTAGCCAATAATAATCAGTCTCTGTCACTGGATGGGTATCACAGGGTATGAAATACACAGGTGGAGGAAGGATGTGTAAGATGGCACCTGCTGCCATTACTTGTAAAATGAGCAGAGTAGGAGTTTAGATATGAAATGCAGAAGGTATTACATGGTGCAGTTATTTAAAGAGCTGGGATTCTGGTTGAAGCTGCTGGAGAGAAGCTCTTAAATCTCTAGTTTCACCACATTAAACAATGTAGTGGTTTTTACAGTTCTCTATGGAATGGATATATACATGTTCTAAAGACAGACATTCAGAAGTGCTCTCCTGCTGGAGTGAAATTGTTGACCATTAACTGTCGGAAGCCTTATGATTGAGGTTAAAATGTGGCTCCTGCTGGTGATGCAGGGGTTGGACGTTAGTTTAGCAGCATTCAAGTAACTTGCGTTTGGGACTCCCACAGTTCTTGCTGAGAAGGGTTGCGGATGATGCTTTGAATATACTGCCACCTCCTACTGTAAAGCCACAAGAGAAGTCTCAGGAGACTACCACACATCTCTTGGTTTGCCTAGGTTTAGTTCAAGTCAAAGATAGTGGCCTCAAAGAGAGGACATATCCAAGAGTGGAAAAGCAGACACCATAACAAGAGTATTGATGCAAATAGGGTTCAGCTTTTAGTGTGATCGGCTTTTCCAGTTCTGCCCCAGGGAAAGATTGGCTCCTTTTCGTTCAGGAGCTTTATGAGCCTTGTCTGGCTGTGTTTTGCAAATGATGAGAATACAAAGATCTTATAGAAGTTGGAGTGAGTGAACTGAGAAAGTTGTGAATTGTTCCAGTCCTCTCTATTTCCTGGGCTATAGTCAGAGAGGTTCTTCTGCAAAGACATCTGTGACACAGTTTCTGATAGTAAAAGCAGACAGAAAATAAGCAAAAAAGAATATGAGAGAGGATATGAAATGAGGAGATACGGAGTTCCCAGACTCTTGCAAAAAGCCAAGTGTAATACGCATGTAGCGTTATGATCATGATACTCCACAAGTGCAAGAAAAAAAACAAAACGGTGTGCCCCAAAGACCTAACAAACATAATATACAAAGACAATTGTTTAGGCATGAGAAAGTGAAAAGCAACAAACCTTAGTGAGGCCTGGTCTGCACCTAAAAATTAGACTGACCTAGCTACATCTCTCAGGCTGTGAAAAATGTTGTGCCCAGTGCAATGTAGTGAGGTCAAGCTAACCCACACTATAGATGCAGCTAGAATTCTTCAGTTGACCTAGCTCCCATCTCTTAAAGAGATGCACTAACTACATCAACACAAAAACCTCTTCTTTCAGTGTGGAAAGCCATCTACAATACAGCAGCACAGCTGTAGACATTAGTAAAGGCATACCTTAGGCTTAATGAAACAAGGGCTGTTGATTTGAGAGATGGCAATTGACACCAGGAAAGCTCTTCCAAGCACGCTGGCAGGAGCCAAACAACAGTTAGAAAAACAGAGGATGCTGGCAACCTTTCCTACCCATATTGATCAGAATTAAAATGTGGGTTGAATTCTGAAAGCAAGTTACTTTGACCAAAAAAAACGTTTTATTTTGTGCCCTTGCATGGCTATTTTGGATGAAAGATGAACTCCAGCAGCTTTGTAGTAGCTGAAAAGATGCTAATGAATGTGAAGACAAATAGAATAAGGAAGGATAATTGTAATTCTAAATAATTGATGCTATTCGCTTTAGGTTTTTAGAGTTTTTGTTGTCTGTGTATTTGCTGCTTTGAGTGTCTTTACCTGAATGAAGATGAGTGGATCAGAAGCAACCCATCTGGTACATGGGTAAGAATATTAGCTCTGACTTTCAAATCCTCACTGGAGAGGACACTAAAACTGGTGGGGGTGGGGGGTGTTGTTTTTTATAAAGCACAACCCTATACTTGTACGGTCCTTCTTAAGCTAGGAAAAATTAATTCCTAATCAGTCGAGAGAAGGTGGTGGATAGGAGGTGACTCCTTTACTCCCCTACTCATAATCTGATGTGATGTCCTTTTGATGAAGGCAAAGAATTCCTCTTCAAGGGTGATTGTGGCTGGTAATGCAACTCGATGTAATAGTATTTATTTTTGTTTCTCTTCTCTTCTCCCCCCCCCCTCCCCAAAACTGACCTGTTCCATGCACACAACAAAGTCTAGGCCTACTGATATGAGCTGCCTCTTGCTCTAAAAGGGGAGGTAGATCTTTAAAAAAACAAAACAAAACCGCATTCCATCCCCCCACCAAAAAGCCTCCCAGAACAAAACAAACCTGGTGCAACCTATGAGGAGATAGTAGCCTCAAGAATATTTGTTCAAAATAGTTAAATCCAAAGGAGATATTCTTCCTGGAGTAACCAATGCTGATCTACAGTCTGTAGATAGAAATGGTATGCTGCTTTGGATATAAACCTCTGAAGGGATTCAGGGATGCTCTTATTGACCTCAGTGCAGTGCAGATTTGGGTCCAAAAGAAAGATAATGTGATTTGTATCACTTCTCAAGTTGCAAGACCTTAAGGACCTGTCTGTTTTTATATTTAAAATATTTTGTGGAGTGTCACAGCGCTCTATATGTAAATGCACAACTGAGCTAGTTGCCATAGAATCTACTTTTGCACTAGTACATTCTTTTGTGTTTGTGAAATTTCACCATATGCTGTGTGTGTGTGAAAGTCCAACAGATGAAGCACCCGCCTTACTACACGCCTATATGGAGAGTTCCTAAGGGATTCAGTTTTGTGATGGGGAGGCAGGCATGAGGGTTATGAATAAACAACCTTCTACCCTCCAGCTTAGTGAGAGATCTCTCTAACAGAAAATATTTCCCAGCACTTTGTATTTAGAGCAAAAGATACTTTAGTGTTAATAGCAAGTGAGACATATTTGGTTAGACTCTAGAGCAGGGGTGGGCAAACTACAGCTCGGGGGCCGCATCCGGCCCTTCAGACATTTTAATCTGGCCCTCGAGCTCCTGCCAGGAAACAGGGTCAGGGGCTTGCTCTACGCAGCTCCGCTCCGCATGCTGCCTCCACCCCCGCAGCTCCCGTTGGCCAGCAAACAGGGCCAATGGGTGCTGCAGGGGCAGTGCCTGCAGACGGGGTAGTATACAGAGATGCCTGGCTGCGCCTCTGTTTAGGAGCCAGAGGGGTGACATGCCGCTAGTTCCAGGAGCTGCTTGAGGTAAGTGCTGCCTGGAGCCTGCACCCCTGACCTCCTCTCATGCCCCAGCAGTGATCCCCCTCCCGCCCTCCGAACCCCTTGGTCCCACCCTCCTGCACCCCAAAGCCCACACCTCTAGCCAGAGCCCTCACCCACTCCCACCCCCCACCCCCAATTTCATGAGCATTCATGGCCCACCATACAATTTCCATACCCATATGTGGCACTCGGGCCAAAAAGTTTGCCCACCCCTGCTCTAGAGATAAGTGGTGTTAGCATTTTTTATAACAAACCCTTATTTTCAAGGGGTTATAACATCTCTTAAATACATCAATCTGGGCTAAAATGAACAAGGTTTTAGCCTTGAGGGAATTTTTTAAAAAACATGACTTGAGCATTATAAAAATAAAAACCTGATGCTTAAACTCAGCACTCCAAACATGCATGATTATATTTCCTTCTTAAACTGAAATTTGACTTCAGTTAATCTGGAGTGGGAGTTGTTGTGATGAGCTTCACTAAGTGGTTAATGGGCCCGTGCACTATTCTAATACATTTAGAGAATAGACTAGAGCAGTGATTCTCAAACTGGGGGGGGTCCCGACCTCATTTTAATGGGGTTGCTAGGGCTGGTGTTAGATTTGCTGGGGCCTGGGGCCAAAGCCCAAGCCCCAGTGCCATGGGTTGCAGGGCTCAGGCTTCAGTCCCCCCTCCTGGGGTCATGTAGTAATTTTTGTTGTCAGAAGGGGGTCGCGGTGCAATTAAGTTTGAGAACCACTGGACTAGAGTATGTCTACACGGCAATTAAACACCCACATGGCCCATGTCAGCTGACTCAGGCTCAGGCTATGGTGCTGTAAGAGTCCCAGAGCCTGGGCTGGAGGCTAAGCCCGAATGTCTACAACCCAGTTAAATAGCCCCAAAACCTGAGTGCTGCAAGCCCGAGTCAGCAGACAATGGCCAGCCATTGGTGTTTAAATGCAGTACAGATATGTTCTAAACAGGTCTGTCAGGCAAATATTTTTTTCAATCACAAATGTATGAAATTAAAGAAGAGAAAAACCTGCTTCAAAATATTAGAGTTCAGAATGGCTTTGAAGATGAGCATGACCCACACATTCATGGCAAAGGAGAGAGGATATGAAATTCTGCTTTCCCTTAACTGTTTTCAGTGGGACATTCCTCTGCCAGACCTGAAACTAAAGAATGTAACCTTGTGCCTGTTGCTTTTTTCTTTTACCTTTATTTCCTGATGTGTAAAGATTCATCTGAATCTTGCTCTCCCACCCCTCATTCCCCCAGCTAAAACTTTTATATCTGTTTTGGATGTGGTATTAAATGCAAGTCAAATAAATCTTTCCTTCATCATATATGGTTTTGGTTTCTAATTCCACCTAGTGGATCCTGAATTATGATAAAGGCTCTTGTAACTTCTGATTTAGATGCCAACCTGTATGTTATTCTGAACAGTTCTTTTGAGAGAGAATCCACTTATAATATGCAGGCAAACAGTGGCTTATTTCTAGAATCAGTGTGTTAAGAACTGATAGCAAGTAAATTCTTAGGGCTTGTCAACATGGGAAAATGTTCCAGTATTATTATATCACTCTAGTTATACTGGTATAGAAATGCCAAACTTCCATATATAGACAAGCACTTAGATTTGATTTCTTGACCATTCTATGATCCACTTTATGTACTTTCTGCAATGGCTGATAATCCATATGCTTCATCTGCCAGGATTTTCCCATTCAAAGGTGACCTCATCTAAAGGAGAATTCTGTGTTAAAGAAAGAAACTCAACAATTAACCTCATGGTCTGTGTGGATTTGTATACTGCACACATTAAAAGGTGTCTGAGAACTAGGTCTGAAAGACAAAAGTAAAGATTTGCAGAATACTTTTGAAAGACTTAAAAATGTCTGTCCGCTGAGACCTGTAGAAAAGTGTAGGCTCCTTTCAGTAGGCAACTACAGCACATTAAAACTTTCATTTTCAAGCCATGAAGCAACTATGTTGAACCAGAACAGCCGTGTGCTTCCACAGCTTTTGGTAGAATATCGCATTTGTAGAAAGAAATAGTTTCTTTAAACAGAACATTTCTGATGTGTGGAACACACTGTCACACGCTAACAGTGAGGTGAAAAGCTTAGATATATTCAAAGAATTAAACCTTCATATGGATAAGAACATTGACAGTTAAATGAGACAGATCACCACCATGCTTCAGTCTGTAATCCAAACACTAGCAGAGGTTAAGAAGAAACTTCATCTATGGATAGGTTAATTGTCTAGGGGCAACCTCTGAAATAGTTGGTTCTGCAAGACACCAGACAGAATAAGCCACCGAACTGCTTCAGTGTAGCAATTTCTTATCTTCCTTATAAAAAAAAGGGGGGGGGGGCTTGCAGGTGCTGCACGCTAAAGCTTTGGAAGAGGGAAAGAGTAGTGGATTTAAGAATATAGGGGGAGAGGCCTGAATGCTGTTATTTTCACAAGAAATGGTGGAGAGGCTCCTGTTCTGTGCTCTTGGTTTGAGCTATGGGTAGGGTGACCAGATGTCCTTGCTTCTGCCAGATCCCTGCTTGCCAGTCGCCCACCCACCAGCAGTGAGTGGGGGAGTCCAGTGGCTGACAACGGGGGTGGGTGTGCAAGGTTGGTGGTGGGGTGAAGATGCTGCTCCCCCTGCTGGTTCATCAGTGCAGCCCCTGCTGTGTGCCGGCTCTCGGCTAGCAGGGCCCCACCTCCCCGTCTCATTTCCAGCTGGCACTTGCTATGAGCTGCAGTGGCTGGTGAGTGCGATCAGGCAGTGGCCCGTTACGCGTCACCTCTGCTGCCCACTCATCGGCCCTTTACATATTCTCCCTCTGGCAGTCCTCTCCCTGCTTTGCCCCTTCACCTCATCCAGCTTTTTTATATCCCCCCCCGGCAGGGCGTGTCCCACTCCCAGTGCTGTGCGGAGAACCAGCCCTTGGTCGGAGCGCTCAGTTCACCAACAGCCTGGCTGGCAGGCTTCCTTCTGCCACTGCCTCTGGCTGGGCCAGTGCCCCGGAAAAGCCCAACACCCTTCAGCCCGGGGCACTGGCCAGGAGGAGCCAAGCCCAGCATGTGCCAAAACCCCAGACAGCTCTGGCATGGGGAAAGCCCCTCTGCCCCTCAGCTGAGCTCTGGAGTGGGAGGGGGGAAGCGATTTCCAGCCTGTTCGCACCCCCAAACCTGCAGGCTCCATAGCAGCCCCCCAGGCAGGGGCTTACACCCTCTTCACATACACTCCCCCCCGCCCCCAGAGAACAGGGCTGCTCCGTCCCCTAGGCACCCTCCCTGCTGAGCCATATCTCTGGCCCGGTTTGCTGAAGCCCCTGCAGTCAGGTTCCCTGGGCTCTGGTGCACAGTGCATCCTTAGGACTTAACCCCTTCCTGCCCGTGCAGTAGCTGGGGGTCAGGGGGCGGACAGGAGGTGGCTGGGTTATGTCGGTGGCCAGCAGTAACCTGGAGATGTTAGCTGCCTTTCGAGGCTGTGCAGGCAGGAAGGGACAAGCTGCTTCAAACCTGCGGGGGTAGGGGGGGGAGAGAGGAGTGGAAGAGATGAGCTCTGCAGAAGAGGAAGAGATGAGATGACTGCCTCCAACCCCGCCCCTCAGCTGGAAGCAGCTCCTGTCCTTTCTCTCCCGCACAGTGACAAAAGGCTGCTGCTGTCCACATTCTGGTGTGAACCCTGACAGAAATCAGGGGGGCAGGGGATACATGACCCAGTGTGTCCCTCCACGTCTTGCCATGGGAAGATGCGGCACCAGGAGAGTTGGGTCCATCCCAGGGGCCAAGCAAGGCATGGAGGGACGAGAGCACAAGGCAGGAAGGGCTGGGTCGGTCGGTCACACCCCCCTGTCCGAGAGAGGTGTATGGAAGTGTGTGTGTCACCTCTCCCTGTGTGATCCCTAAAGCCTTAAAGATACGAAGGTAAATAAAAAGAATCCAGCTACGCAGAATTTCTTTTTAACAGGGGCTCAGTCAACTTGTTGTTAATTTGAACATTTGTACTGCATAATTCTGATTATTTGCCATTGAACTTGCTTGAATACAAGTAGTTTTACCACATGTCCAATATTCAGCATAGGGAAATATGGTCACCCTAGCTGTGGGTCAGTTCACACTTATGTGCTAGAATTTATTGCCAAGATACTTATTCACTCTGCACTTTAGGTGAATCTGCCAAATGAAACATAGCTGAGCCTGAAAAAGTGATTGAAAACCTTTCACAGATAGGCTGCCTCCATGAGCACTACACAGATCCCTTCAAACCAAACTTTAAACAGAGGTAGATTAATATAATAATGACCAGAGCTTTCAAATTAAAGGACAATGCATATTTTAGAGGTTAGAGCAGAGAACTATAGGTTGACCCATATTGGGTTCTAGTCCTAGCTTCTTAGAGATAGGGACAAATCCCTAAAGTGCTGTGCTACAGTCTTCCCATCTGTACACTGTGAATAATGCTTGGCTGAATTATGATGAAGGCCCTCTTACAGGGATACTGAGGATTACTTGATACTTCTAAAACATTAATATTTTCCTGTTGAATATTGGATTACTGTGAGAACCCCATTGTGTCCAAGCCTGCTCAGAGGTGCTTGATAAGGAATAGGAGCACTTATTGTATCATTTACTGATTTAAAATTGCTAGTTTCCTTTCCACTAAACATTCTCATTGAAGTACCTCTAGTACTAAATGATGTCCAAGAGAGGCTTCACTGCTTGTCACATTGTAAATATAAACTGACTAGTCTTTGACTGGAAAACATTTTAATTATTTCTGGAAGAACAGGATCTGTTTGGCTTTCAGTGGCAAAAGGTTTCAGCGTAGCAGCCGTGTTAGTCTGTATTCGCAAAAAGAAAAGGAGTACTTGTGGCACCTTAGAGACTAACCAATTTATTTGAGCATAAGCTTTTGTGAGCTACAGCTCACTTCATCGGATGCATTATGCTCAAATAAATTGGTTAGTCTCTAAGGTGCCAAAAGTACTCCTTTTCTAGTGGCGAAAGGAAAATCCTTCACACTTCCTTAATTCAGACTTTTGAAGACCTAACTTTTGTAGTAAACATCTACTCTCAATAGAGAGTGCCTGTTATCTACAATTGCTACCTTTTCTCTTGGAAAGCCAAGCGGGGGATCCACTGTTTAAATTAATTGGGCAGGATCATAATCTCCACCTGAAACTAGTTACATTATAGCTGTAAAGAGAAAGGAGTAGTTCTCCTGTCCCTAAATAAAATATTTAAAAGATTTAGTTGAACATGATCCAGGGGTAGATCTGAACGAATCCATACATTATTTGGCTGCCATCAAACAACAACAAAAATAAACCAAAAACCGCTCTGCTCTTATCTGGGCTGGCTTAGCTAGGTTTCCGACTTCCTCCACAGTCTAGTAAGAAACGTTACATGCACAGGCCCATTTTCTTTGCAGCTTTTAACTTGAGTGACCTTACCATTCCTGAAATTTTCTCTTCACAAGTTTCCTTGTGCAAATGCTTCCAGTACATACACCTCTTTTGATGTAACACATACCCTTTGTATTCTTCTCCCTACCCAGGACTTCCAAGTGAGTGGTGTTTAACGTGCACAAATACAGAAGAAAAAAATGAGGAGTCCTTGTGGCACCTTAGAGACGAACAAATTTATCTGGGCATAAGTTTTCGTAGGCTATAACCCACTTCACCGGATGCATGGAGTGAAAAATACAGTCGGCAGGTATAAATATACAGCACATGAAAAGATGGGAGTTGCTTTACCAAGTGGGGAGGTCAGTGCTAACGAGGCCATTCAATCAGGGTGGATGCGGCCCATTCCCAACAGTTGACAAGAAGGGGTGAATATCAACAGAGGGAAAATTACTTTTTGTAGTGACCCAGCCACTCCCAGTCTTTATTCAGGCCTAATTTGATGGTGTCCAGTTTGCAAATTAATTCCAGCTCCAGACTTTCTCGTTGAAGACTGTTTTTGAAGTTTTTTTGTTGAAGAATAGCCACTTTTAAATCTGTTATTGAGTGTCCAGAGAGATTGAAATGCTCTCCGACTGGCTTTTGCGTAGAGACTGTCCTTTTTGGCCAATGTACATAGCAGAGGGGCATTGCTGGCACATGATGGCAGCAGCACCCTGTTCTCCGTTAAAGTGACAGTACTAAATCCCTTACTGCTCACATTTCCTTTTTTAGTGCCACTCAGGAAATTATCATTACTTGCAAAGCTATAAAGTAGATGTGGATGTAATTATAGTCCACTGTGTCTGATCATAAAGAGGAATTCCGTATTCTCCATGTTGCCAAATACTGATAAAATGGGTAGTTTCAGTACATGTAGGAATTTGTCAATCAACCATCTTTCTGCAGAAAAATAAATAATAGATAAATTAAAATCACCCCGCAGTCTGAGTGGCATATTTCAGCTCTAACTACTTGTTCCCACTGACACATACCTCCCACGCTTCTAGTCTGCCCTGCTTGCTGCTAGCAGACTCTTGTTTCAAAGGGTGGTTCCTTGGCATGATATTAATTCACGAGTTCCCACAGCAGTTTAGTGTGTGTGACTGTACTCTCAGATCAAAATGAAGCTGTGCAGCACACCACCATGACTGCTCTCATATTCACTCCCCAGGTTTCCCAGCTGCACTATCTTCACCAGTCTTCCTCACAAGTAAGGGCTGGTTGTGACCCTGCACTTATGGGGAGTCTCCACCACTTGCAAGCCATGAGTTGTAGAAGCTACCCCAGCTTCCCCCCAAAACAACTCATTTTCTTCTCTACTCTTGTCTCCGACACATTTTGGGCAGCAGAGGAAGGGGCAACGCATGTCCCAATTCTCCAACCTCTTTTCTGACAGTGGAAACAGACGCTCATTCCCCAGTTAACCCAGCTTCCTTTTCTGGGCCTGGAGAGGGAAGGTAACTTTTGCCATAGTTTCCCGAGCCCTCAATTTTGACAGTAGGGCAAGAGGCCTCCACTCCCCTTCTCTTTTTTTCAGGTCCAGGGAGAGAAAACTCACAGCCCCATTTCCTTCTGTTGTCTCCCCATTTTTTGGCAACAGGACCACCCAGGGAAGCAAGCCAGAGCCCCTGGCCACTAGATCCATTATCTGTCAACAGGACCCATGAAGGAGGCAACTCCTGGATTCATTCCCTCAGGTCCCATTTTCTACCAATGGAACTGGGGGTGAATTAACTCTGGTCCTGATCCCCAAACCCCTGTTTCTGTCTGTGGGATGGGGGTGAGGTAACTCAACCCCCCATTCCCCTGTTTTCTGTCAGTGAGTCTGGGGGTGAGTTAACTCTGGTCCTAGTCCCCGCATTCCCTATCAATGGGGCGGGGGCTGAGCTAAATGCCCCTATTCCCTCATTTTCTGTCAATAGGACTACCAGCTGAGGTAATTCTGGGCCTCTCTTGTACTCATGGCCTCATATCTCATAAGGCTGCTCTTTGAGAACTACCCCCATTGAGTGAAAGGCATTTGCCCTGCTTGGGTTGGGGGAGGGGCGAGGAAGCCATTTTAACTCAAAATTGCCAGCTTGCCCCCTCACCCCTTAGACCCCTTATCCACCACCATCCAAACATCTGATTGGCTAAGAATGAGACCAAGGCCACCTGCTGATTGGTTAATCTGCATAATTTTGTTCACCAATGATAAAACATTATAACCCCCGCCTTTATCCTGATTGGGACTATAGCTACCTGTGTCTCGCTTGGATTGGACAGTAGTGCGGACATCTCATTGGCTATCGCGCTCCCTGGATTGGATATTTAATTAGGTTTTTATTGATTGGTTGGCGTCTCACCTGCTGCGCCTAGCCATTGGTAATCCAGATTTATCTCCCCGCCCATTGGCCGCTCCGCCTCTTGCATGCGTTCCGATTGGCTGTGGCGGCCCGGCCCGGTATCCGGGTAAAATGGCCGCAGTCGGAGAGTGCTCGCTTCCCGCTCCCTGGCGCCCGGTCTCCCTCACCCATGTCGAGTATCTTGCAGGTAAAGCTCGCTTGAATACCTCTACAGCCTCCGTGGTGCCGGTTTCGCGCGAGTGGGCAGTTCTCAGCTCAGGGTGAATGGGGTCCCAGCGCCCGGTGGCAGTTGCCAAATAGTGAGCCACTGAACAACAGCTCAGGGCCGGAGGGTCGCGCATGCGCACTGGTGCTGCGGGATTTACTACCAGATAGTGAGCCCTGTGTGCTCCATATTGCGCATGTGCATACCCCAGGCTCTGGACTTTTAGCCTCAGGGCAGGGGTTGCTGAGTGCATGGAGGTGACGGGGTCCCAGGGGACCTGCTTCAGCCCCCCTGCAGCAGGCTCCTAGGGATCATGGCGTGTCAATGCCTTGAGGTGTGTCGCCATGTCATCCCTCCACATTGCTGCCTTGTCTTGCCATCTCTCGTTACAGTGTGTTCTCGTTATTCTTTGTTATGATGTCACTGCCATGTGCTAACACCAAGGGTGCACCTCTCCTCTTACAACAGGAGGTTGCAGCATCACTTCACAGTACTCCTGTGTCATGGTGTTGCTGTGTCACGACATCACTGTGTCACCCTTCTCCCTTGTTGTGTTCTGAGTTGCCCTGGTGTAGAGTTGCCTTCGTGGCACAGAGAAGCTGGGATGCAATGACCCCATATTATGATGCTGTCATGACTGAGGGAAGTATTGTTTTGTGGTGCTGCAGTGATGTTATCCTGGTCCTGAAATAGTTTTCAGGATTATTTTTAGTGTGTTTTGGGTAGGCAGGACTGTGTAAGTAGACAGTATTTTTGGAGGTGTTGAACTTTGTCAGATCATGATAGCATGTTTCAGAGTAGCAGCCGTGTTAGTCTGTATTCGCAAAAAAAAAAGGAATACTTGTGGCACCTTAGAGACTAACAAATTTATTTGAGCATAAGCTCCGATGAAGTGAGCTGTAGCTCACGAAAGCTTATGCTCAAATAAATTTGTTAGTCTCTAAGGGTGCCACAAGTACTCCTTTCCTTTTCATGATAGCATGCATTCCCTGGTGGGAGATGTGCAGATTACAGCCTCTGGGCTCCCTGCTTGGAAACTTTTACAGGGCTTGATTTGGGGACTTGAGTAGTACTTAGAAGGGCAGCTGTCAAAGTCCCTTCAACAGCTGTTAACCTCCCAGGACAGATCCTTTCCCAGCTGTTGCATCATTGTCATTCAGTGAGATCCCATATTGTCTTTTGACATTGCATGCTCGCAGTCCAGCCTATTTTGTGTTATGATGATACTAGTTCTCTGCAGCTTGCAAGGGCAGGTTGGGTCGGTACTTTGAATTTCTCTAAACAGCACCTCTGGTGGTGGTGTTTTTTTTTTTTTTTAATTATTTGTTTGTTTGTTTATTTTTGGTGACAGAGTGTTAGCTTGCATGACCTGGTGAAATTCCAATTTAGTAATTATATGCTCTCCTAAAATTCTTCCTGAAGACGCAGTAGTCTGATGCACTGTGGCAATGGTCCTTTAAAATCTCTCGTCTCAGGAGAGCTTTAATGTGGCTGGAGACCTGCTGCCATCCTGTCTTTCAGTTGCCAAAAAATGATGCTCCCTGGTTTTGTATTCTAGTCCAGAGTTTCCAGAGGGAACTTTTTGACCAAACAGCTTTTCTCTACCCCTGGTGTAGCTGCTCCATGTCTTTGTTGAGTGTTCTTCTGGTGTAATTCAAGAGTGATCATTTACCACATTGCATCTAATTTGGAGAAGTAGCAAACACACTGTGACAGAAGAAAACTGCAAAGAGGCCTGGAGAGATAGGAGCAGTGGTGGCTGCAAGCACCAGTCAAAGAGTTTTTACTAATAAATGTAAAATCCTGCATGCCGGAAGGAGAAATAAACAGCACAGAAACATAATGGTGAGACACAACTCAGCAGCTATTCCCATTGTATTAAAGCAGATCTTTTTTTTTCAGCTTGTCTTAATGCTGTCCCAATATCACTTTCATGTATAGTCCTGGAACCTTAAAATTCTGTCTGTCCTGTTAAGGGATTTCCTGTCTGCAGGGTGAATTCCATTAGAGAAACATTCAGTTCCTGGTATGTGTGCATGTAAGTGTAACCCACACACCTTCTGGGTCTGGTGTTCTGTCCCATCTAGTGGCACTGAGACCACGAGAGAGAGTGTGTGTGTGTGTGTCTGCCTGCTCTACAGCCTTAGCTAACAGCCAGTTGGCTTTTAACTTATGCAGCAGAGGCTCATGCACTAAGCTCCAGAGGTCCTAGGTTCTATCCTGCCTGCTGACGACCAGGGTCTGTTGGTGTTAAATAAGCATGTGTGCATGTTTTTCTTCAGGACAACTGGGATTTTTAAGGATCTGTGACTTCTCGTTTCTTCAAGAAAAATGAAGGGAGGTGTCTGTAAGAGGCTCTGTTTTGAGAAATTGTCCTTGGTGTAGAAAGATGTGGCATAGCAACTCCTGTACCTATGACATATGGAGAATTTTCTAGTTTCTTTGCGTAAAGCACCCTTTTAAAAATTCAGTCTTTGAGAAGCTAAACATGTTTAGGTGATGCTGGGCACTAGCAAAATTAGTATGTATAATTAAATAAGGCATATAAGCAAAAGGTTGTGCACACACATTTTAAAAATATTTGTTTAGCACTTAGTTGTTGCTACTTAACTAACTGACTGTATGTTCTATAAGAATTTTTATTCTTCCACTTTCTTTATTGTGACTTCTGCTGGGACGGTAGCTCTTCAGAGCCAATGCTTCTTTCATATCTTAGTGCTTTAAGCTTGGTCTTCCAGCAGAAATGTGTCACGTTGTGATGTGAACCTTGTCATGCCACAGCATCACATCATCCTCAAAGAGAGCTTGAGACTTTTCTTAATGTCCTGCAAGTTGTACTGGCAGGATATGGACAGTCCCATGAAAAATAAGACAAGGGACAACACTTCATGCATTTTTCATCAGTGTAGAAAGTATTGATGGAGTGGAAAGTATTCATATCATGTAACCGACATGTCTGTGGGTGGCTTCTTTTTCCGCAAGTTTGTGTGATAAACAGCGCTGCCACAAATAGACATTTCTATAGGAAACAGTGGTGGCGGCGGTAAAACAAGACTCTGTGATAGGATGTGGTAACAGTGCCATTAATTCATATTTTCACGTTGCATTCAGGTTATGCTAACGTGGTAAACCTCAGATCTTTCCAGTCAATGCCAAAAGGATGCTGGGTAAAAATCATACTTTAAAATAAATATATAAATGTGGCCAGAGGCTAATGTAGAAAATCTGTGTTTTTCACCATAACTGCTGCTTCATCCATTTGCATTCTGGATAACTTAAAATAAAGTAATCAGTTTAATCTTTTGGTTCTTGAGCCCAAAATGCTCTCGGGAATGTTTGAGTTAAAATAAAACTCAACATTGAGTTCTTGTTTTTTATTTTTCATGGATTCATTCTTCTTATCAACCCTATTCCATCCCCTTTAAACTATTAGAGGTTTGGGGAGTGGGGAAAGTCAAAAATAGTTGCATAGTCTTGTTTTTAAACCAGGTCCATGGAAGCACTTCATTTTTTTAGCCGCTTATTAATTTTTTCCTTGGAATAAACTTCTGTAAGACTAGATAATATATTATCTACTTGTGCCACTTCTAAAACTTGAAAACATTATGATATAAACATAGCTGGCCTTGTTTTCTCAGATTCCCCTTCTGCCCCCAATGCATTATCCATCGAAGATTTAAAGCCCTTTCCTCCGTTGGATCAGAACTGCACTAGCTACAACCATCTACTAAACTAGTGAGTACATTATTGGTGTAGCAGGTTTCTAGCATGGTTTACTTGACCAGTGTGGACAGGCAGGGTCTCTCTTTCCTGAGAGCAAGGCCAGAAACAATCACTCACAGTCAACACATCACTACTTAAGTATCTATCCACCTACATAGTCTACTCTGTAGTATGGCTTTAGAATATGGCTGTGCTAGAACCCTGCTGGTATTAATAGTGTTTAATATATGATAGCACTGCTCTGTTCCAAGTAGGGCTGTCGAGTAATCACAGTTAACTCACGCGATTAATTCAAAACAATTAATCGTGATCAAAAAATTTAATCGTGATTAATCACAGTTTTAATTGCACTGATAAACAATAGAATACCAATTGAAATTTATTAAATATTTTTGGATGTTTTTCTGCATTTTCAAATATATTGATTTCAATTACAACACAATGCAAAGTATACAATGCTCACTTTATATTACTTTTGATTATAAATATTTGCACTATAAAAATGACAAAAGAAATAGTATTTTTCAATTCACCTCATACTAGTACTGTCTAGCAATCTCTTTATGGTGAAAGTGCAACTTACAAATGTAGATTGATTGATTGATTTTGGTTACATAACTGCACTCCATAACAAAACAATGTAAAACTTTTTAGAGCCTACAAGTCCACTCAGTCCTATTTCTTGTTCAGCCAATCGCTAAAAGAAACAAGTTTGTTTACATTTGCGGGAGATACTGGTGCCTGCTTCTTATTTACAATGTCACCTGAAAGTGAGAAGAAGTGTTCACATGGCACTTTTGTAGCCAGCACTGCAAGGTATTTATGTGCCAGATATGCTAAACATTTATATGCCCCTTCATGCTTTGACCACCATTCCAGAGGACATGCTTCCATGCTGATGATGCTTATTAAAAAAAAAAATGTGTTCATTAAATTTGTGACTGAACTCCGTGGAGGAGAATTGTATGTCTCTTGATCCATGGTTTTACCTGCATTCTGCCATATATTTTGTGTTCTGGTAGTCTCGGATGATGACCCAGCATATGTTGTTTGATTTAAGAACATTTTCACTGCAAATTTGACAAAACACAAAGAATGTTCCAATATCAGATTTCTAAAGATAGCTACAGCACTGGATCCAAGGTTTAAGAGAAGTGCCTTCCAAAATCTGAGAGGGATGAGGTGTGGAGCATGCTTTCAGAAGTCTTAAAAGAGCAACACTCCGTTGCAGAAACTACAAGAACCTGAACCACCAAAAAAGAAAATCAACCTTCTGCTGGTGGCATCTCACTCAGATAATGAAAATGAACATGCATCTGTCCACACTGCTTTGGATTGTTATCGAGCAGACTCCGTCAACAGCATGGACGCAGGTCCTCTGGAATGGTGGTTGAAGCATGAAGGGACATATGAATCTTTAGCGCATCTGGCACGTAAATATCTTGCAACGCTGGCTACAACAATGCCATGCAAATGCCTGTTCTCACTTTTGGGTGACATTATAAACAAGAAGTGGGCAGTACTATCTCCTGCAAATATAAAAAAAAAAATTGTCTGAGTGACTGGCTGAACAAGAAGTAGGACTGAGTGGACTTGTAGGCTCTATAAAGTTTTACATTGTTTTATTTTTGAATGCAGGTTTTTTTGTACATAATTCTACATTTGTAAGTTCAACTTTCATGATAAAGAGATTGCACTACAGTACTTGTATTAGGTGAATTGAAAAATACTATTTGTTTTTTTTACAGTGCAACTATCTGTAATCAAAAATAAATATAAAGCGAGCACTATACACTTTGTATTCTGAGTTGTAATTGAAATCAATATATTTGAAAATGTAGAAAACATCCAAAAATATTTAAATAAATGGTATTCTATTGTTGTTTAATAGCAAGATTAAGCACAATTAATTTTTTTAATTGCTTGACAGCTCTAGTTCCAAGTGCTGAACAGATTTTTCAAACAGGATTCAGATTACCTGAGTAGATGATTCCTGCTATACTTCTCTACAGCATTCTGTGTCTGAGGTTCTGGTTCATGGATTTTGGCCTCAGGTTCTTCTGCAGGTCACCAGCCATTACTGACTAGTTGACTTGTATTGGTTCTACTATGTGATATTGGTAGAATCTTTGTTATGCTCTCTGTAGTTCTACTTTGTGTCCACTGTGACTTTATCTAAGACCAACTGCCTGTAGAGATATTCTTACACCATCTGTGGGAGAAATATAGTCCCTCCTGAGAAAACGAAGTAAAAATTGTCTGCAATTTCTTTATTTTTTAAAATTAATTTTACAGTATTTTAGTCTAATCAAATTTTAAAATTTGCATGTACTACAGATTAGCAAAGTAAATGCTGCGATAAACAATGATCCCTGAACTAGAGACCATCTCTAATATATAATCCCTGAATCGAGATTACTTGAAAGCTTACCCAAGACTTCAGTGCAATTTTGATTGTCCAGTAGTCTAAAATTCTCAGGGCATCTGACGTTAACAGTCACTTAAGGTGGATTTCCTCTTGCATTTATGTAGTTCTTGATCAGTGTTTAGACGTAAGGAGCCTGATTCTCTGTTTTCTGGCACCTTGTGCTGTCCCTTACACCAGTGCAAAGTCGGCATAAAACATTACCATTCTGATCTGATAGCATTTGAAACCCACTTTGCATTGGTGTTAATGACTGCACAAGGTCATTGAGCCAAAGATCTATTAAGGGACCCCAGGTTAAATTCAAAACAAAAGAATTTTTTAGGGCTCTTCTGCAAATAATTCCAAATTCCCATTGGTTTTGCAGAATGAAACTCTTCAGCCCATTCTCTTGGTGTTGATGCTCTTGGTGCTTCCTAGTTGTAAGTGACACAGAACCTGCCATGGGAAGCGAGTATGCACCGTGTGTACAACCATCTGGCAATACACCCAGCAATGTGAACTTTTGTAACAGTGAGAATACTTTTGTTCAGGCATTGAAGTTAAAGTTCATCACGTCAAATGCTGCTCAGCTCAAAATGAGGCAACTAGTGTGTGTTGGGGAAGAAGTTCTGTATTATACAGTGGAAGGAAGTGGAATTGATTTAGGAAGGAATCAGGTATTTAGTCATACAGAAATATCCTCTTTTCTTAGCTGGTAGGCAGGAGGGATCAGGTGCTTAGTGATGGGGATTGATCCTTCTGTGGCCATGTGGTGAGACAGGAAGGATTTTGCTGTCTTTTGGAGACTAGCATTAAATGGCTGTGACCTTCTCTTGATTCAGTTGATACCAGGGTAGCGTTTTTAGTGTCCTCCTTCAAAAATATCTCCACTGTAGCAAAGCCTTTTGGGACGTCTTTTCCCCTGTGAGTTTCATATTGACTCTCTGCAATGATGATTGGCATTTTCAAATGATGCTGCTGGTTTATGTATCTTTTACAATATCTTCTATTAAAAATAAAATTGAAAAACTCTTCTGGTGAGAAGCTGATCTTGGAACAAAATAGCTTTGTGATTTCCTGTTTGCTTTGAGCCTATGCTTACCTTTTCCAAAAGAGTTCGTGTGGAACACATGTTCTTTTAAGTAAACAAATAGATATGGTGCTTTGGCCAGTAGGCAAGGGTGATTTGGACTGAGTCATATAGTGTGTACCATGTATTGCCATTCTTCACCTCTGACATCTGTCTACCCCGATCTATTCTATCCAAAGCCATCCCAGATGGCTCTTGAGACACTTTATTTTCCTCTGTGAGATTCTGTAATGCAGCTTCCCAACTCTAGCTATTGGAGGCTGTCTAGGTGGGAAACTACTCAGACTCTCAATATCTGTTGTAAACTGGCAGACAGAAATTGCAGTTGAATTATGCTAGGCTCATTTCATTTCCCTTTGGTCCCAATCCTGAAGCTAATAACTGCCATTCTTGCTCTTCAGCACCTTCGGTCCCTGTGAGCACTTGGGATGAAATGCTGAGTCCAAGGAATGGAGCCTGGGTCTGCCATATAATGCTAGGCCATTGATCTAGTGAACTCACACCTTTGCTGTCAGTGAGCTCTGAAGTGCTAGCAAACGGCAGTCTCTATGGCAAGCAAGCACACACAAAATGCAGGCTGATTTGTTTCTCTCGTTTGCTTCCTCAGGTGATTTCTCTGGTCAGCTCTTAGCCTACTTGAGTCTCTGTCCAATTTTCATCATAGTCGGCTTTGTTACACTCATCATATTCAAGAGAGAGCTTCATACGGTGAGTCTTCCTCTTCCACCCCAGGTACTTCACATGGCAGGAGACACGAGAAGGGAGGTGAGGGCAGGAGAGATTTGCCATTGCAGAGCTAGCATAACAAATGTGACCTCTTTGCCGAGAGGAAAGCACAATTAATTGTGATACTTTTGAATTACTGTCAAGCCTTAGTTCACTGCCCTGTCTTGCCCTATAGTGTCCCTTCCCTGAATTCCTGGACCAGGACATGCCATACATTTCAGTGACTGTTGCAAATTTTCTGCCTGTCTTTATGAGAAACTGAAGTGGGTCTTTAATATCATTATTATTGCTGTGATCCCATGAGCTCTTGGGTCATGCAGGATGAACAGGAGATACAGGAATAGGAAGAATACCCCATGTGCTGCAGGAGATGGTATTTGTAATTCTGTGGGATGCACTTTCCCCTCTGTGACAGTAGTGAACAAGTGCCTTTAGCATGACTTTGGGAAGGGTTGTGCTGATGGAGGTGCTGTCTCTTGGATGAGATGTAAACATGGGTCCTGATCACTTGTGGTCATTGATACTTTTTGTAAAATGAGGAGGTGTCAACAGTAGTACACTGGATGAACTTCAGTCTGGATAATTATGTTTGGCCTCTCTAAATTGTCCCTGTGGTGTCAGTTGGATACAATATTCTTCACTTTTTCTCAGCTGTTTGTCATGTTCCCTTGTTCTGTTAGACGTCTGTCTAAGATTGGCTGCATTTTGATGGAGGATGAAGTGATTCTTGTATCTCTTATTTTTCTCCCGGAGAGGTTGTGAAGCTTTATTACCCAATGTTTAAGTGATTTTATTTTTCAGATTCTTTTCTAAATGGGTTTCCCCATGTCATTGTCTTGGTGCTGTATGTTTGCATTAATCTATGAAGAGCACTGACTCTGATGCCAGTTTCAATAAGTGGCAGCCTTGGCTGTCATCTTAGTCGTTAAGGGTCAGATTTTTGGGAGTGTGAGCGCTCACAAGTCCATCTGGTGTTGTGAGTATTCGGGACCTCCATGTCTAGTTGGCAGCCAGTGTCAAGTGGAGTGCCCCAGGGGTCAGTCCTGGGGCTGGTTTTGTTCAATATCTTCATAAAAGATCTGGAGGATGGTGTGGATTGCACTCTCAGCAAATTTGCGGATGATACTAAACTGGGAGGAATGGTAGATACGCTGGAAGGCAGGAATAGGATACAGAGGGACCTAGACAAATTGGAGGATTGGGCCAAAAGAAATCTGATGAGGTTCAATAAGGATAAGTGCAGGGTCCTGCACTTAGGACGGAAGAACCCAATGCACAGCTACAGACTAGGGACCGAATGGCTAGGCAGCAGTTCTGCGGAAAAGGACCTAGGGGTGACAGTGGACAAGAAGCTGGATATGAGTCAGCAGTGTGCCCTTGTTGCCAAGAAGGCCAATAGCATTTTGGGATGTATAAGTAGGGGCATAGCGAGCAGATCGAGGGACGTGATCATCCCCCTCTATTGGACATTGGTGAGGCCTCATCTGGAGTACTGTGTCCAGTTTTGGGCCCCACACTACAAGAAGGATGTGGATAAATTGGAAAGAGTCCAGCGAAGGGCAACAAAAATGATTAGGGGACTGGAACACATGACTTATGAGGAGAGGCTGAGGGAACTGGGATTGTTTAGTCGGCGGAAGAGAAGAATGAGGGGGGATTTGATAGCTGCTTTCAACTACCTGAGAGGTGGTTCCAGAGAGCATGGTTCTAGACTATTCTCAGTGGTGGAAGAGGACAGGACAAGGAGTAATGGTCTCAAGTTGCAGTGGGGGAGGTTTAGGTTGGATATTAGGAAAAACTTTTTCACTAGGAGGGTGGTGAAACACTGGAATGCGTTACCTAGGGAGGTGGTGGAATCTCCTTCCTTAGAAGTTTTTAAGGTCAGGCTTGACAAAGCCCTGGCTGGGATGATTTAATTGGGGATGGGTCCTGCTTTTGAGCAGGGGTTGGACTAGATGACCTCCTGAGGTCCCTTCCAACCCTGATATTCTATGATTCTATGACCTCTGGAAATCAGGCTGAGTGAAAGAGCGCTTCCCCACAATTTCCCAGGGGAAGCAGTGTGCCTGCAAGGCCCATTTCATCTGTGTGTGTGTGAAACAGCAGGAGCAGAAGTGACTCCTACTTCTGTCCTGACCAGAAGCTAGTCTTTTCATGACACAGCATGCCACAAGGTCTCTGCTGTTTGTCCTGACAAGTAGCTAGGATGGGATGGCTGAGTACATTCCATACAAGGGATTACAAGCCATTCATAATATTTGCCTTTTGTAAACAGACAGGTGAAATGGAGTTAGTAATAGGATTATGACATCAGGTTTCTGATATTGCTGTGTTTATATAAAGCAACACTGTCATGGGAACTGAATGGCTCAGGGGATTAGTAATGAAACCTCTAGGTTACTAGTGTGATTGCAGCCCAAGGAAGTAGCTTCTGAAAGTCATAACAATCTAAAGGCTTCTTGGAAGCCTTTGTGACCTGAATTGATCATTCCAGTCCAATTTCTAATGGGCAGTTTTCTTTGTCATAAAAAAAAAAAATCAGATTAGGCACAAATTGGCCTCCCCATTTTAGCAATCAGCAGAAATACAGAAGATCGAATAGGTCATAAAGACTGAAAGTGTCTTTCATTTCTAGAGGTGATACCTGCTGAAGATTGGGGCACTTTGGCAGGGGACATGCATGTGGGGGGGAGCTTGCATTGCCACTGTCTGTGTTGTATCTGCTCTGTAAATAGAAGACCGTTTTAGGACAGTGAATCTAGCTTCCGTAAGTGAATTTAGGGCTGATCTTTATATGGTGCCTTTCATCCCAGAAGATCCCAAAACACACACCCCACACACACCCCACACCCTCTCTCTCTCTTCCCACCCCCACCCCCCCACATAGAGAGAGATTGTAAGGTAAGTATTTTGGGACCTTCTGGGGGAGAGATAGATATAGGTAGCGTGGGATATATTGTATAATGTGTACATTTTATATATATATAGTGTCTATATAATACAGTAAAGATCATAGAGATGGAAAAGGCTTGTTGCATCCATCCCCTTGCTAGGAGAGGTTATGGTGCCTTGATAGATGAAGCACCAGGTATTAAACTGCCACTGCACTTGACCTGTACATACATGTTACAGTTTAACATTCTTTTAAGATTTTTTACAGTTGCAAGGTAAAGCATTCAAAAATAAGATTTCTCCATGAAATCTTTGCATGCACAAGGGGGTTGTATTTATTATGATAGGAAGTCCAGAGCCAAGTCAGGAATAGACCAAGCTGTACTGGGGCCTAGTGGAGGCCTGAAACACAAAATAACATACTCTTTCTCTTCTTGCAACCCTCTGCCTCATCCGCTGTCTCTCCTGTGCAGTGAATGAGGCAGGGAGCCTCTAAAACAAACAGTATGTGATGACGTAATTAAAGACCGTATCATGAAGGGTATGAACGAGGAGGCTGAATTAAGGTTGCATAAACAACCTTAATTTTGGCATTTCCTAATGTTGTTGTTTTTTGCAGCATGTGGAGTGCAAAGAATTATAAGCACACCAGGTAGTAGATCTGAGACTAAAACTAATGCTGTCCTGGTGGTGCCCGGAACACCTTCCTCCAATGGCAAAATTAAATTGAATTGTAATGGGGAGCTCTTGCTGCACCAGCCAAGGAGGAATGGGTGCTGTGAAGGAATGCTGTTTCTCTAAACTGGGGAAGACACCTCCTCCTCTCGCTCAGTCCAGAGGGGCAGTGGGCAGATGCCGCATTGTCCTCTGTCCAGAGCTCTAGCTCTGCCTGGTCGCATGCTCAGTTCAGATACCATGTTAAAAAAGCTCTGTAGGGCTGTAGTATTCTCAGTGCAGATGGGATGTTCGAGATTGTAGCAGCAAATCGCTACCGCTCTCTACTGTTTCCGTGCAAATGGCAAAGCCCGGAGGCTTGTAACTCGTCCATGTATCTGTAGATTTTCATAGAGAAAGCAGAATGTACCTCTCTGAGTCCAGGACCGTTCCCTGGCAGATCTCGCCTTCCTGCTCCAAATGTGGAGGTGCTAGAGCTCTTCGGAGAAACCGTTAATTGAGCCAAAGTTAACATGTTTTTTTCCTACCTTTCTCCCCCCGTCTCATTTTCTGAAATGGCTGATCTGTGTTTGTTTAAATTTAAAAACAAAACCTGCAACCTGAGCAGAGAACAAGCCTGAATGGCCAGCGTTCAACAAAGTTATAAGCAACTGAAAACTGGCTAGTAATAAAAGTGTGAGCAAGTGTTAGTGTTAATGCTGATTACTAATTCTGCCTATAGAAAGGAGCCACCACTGGGTTGGAATGTGACAGCTCTTCAGCAGCACACAGTGTACTGACCCACAGTTTAGCTCAGGAAGTGAAAAATCCCATAACTATTTGAAACTAGAGGAGGAATTTAGGGAGGCAGAATACGATTACGCAGATTGGAATTTGGCCAGGATGCTAGGGCTAAGAGAGGGAAGAAGTATTCTGGACTACAGAGTGAAATTGATACTATGTTTTTATAATCTGGCCAGGCCCAGAGAATGCCTTGCCTTTAAAGATGTTAGAAATTTGTGGGGAACAGCTTCAGGATGATGATTATTTTCTTTATGATGTTCACTAAAGAGGAAAAATAAAATAAGCCGCCCTTTTAAGCAGAGCATACCAACGGCATCATATGTGCTCCCACTGTTGGCCTGCAGCAAACAGTTGAAGATGTATTGTCAATTTAAAATCTAGGCAAATAAAAAAAAAAAAATTCCAGCTATGACACTACTCTTGGAGTCCCTCTGCCAATATTTTCTATTTTATTCTTTTCTCTTCTGTTGCTCTGTGAAAGACTCCCACAAACCGGGGAAACGGAATATATACTCTTTTGGTTAGAGTAATCTTGAGTGTTACTTACAACTGTAGTAGTAAAAAAAAAAGTAGTAAAAAAAAAAAGTCAGAGAGACAGCGTGGTTTTGTTTTAAGTTGACCATGTCCCTTTAAGGAAAATTCGTCGCAAAGGCTTGATGAGATGCATCACACTTGAGATGACACAGTGGGAAGCTGAGGGATGGATGCAGGGTCATAGGCTGACACAATTATCTCTTTCACAGATATCTTTCTTAGGGGGGCTGGCATTCAACGAAGGAGTGAACTGGCTAATAAAGAATATTATCCGTGAGCCACGGCCCTGTGAAGGTAAGTATGGCCTGGTGGCTTGGGGGAAAGAGCGGGTACATGAATTATCTTTGAACTGTGGTGACAATAATTGGGTTGAAGGTGGTTTTGTCTCAGGTCTGGTATGTTGTGTTTGCACATTCACCTGGGGGTTGGGAAGGGGGGCTTACAGTCCAGATGATCAGATAAATGTATTGTAAATTCACACACTCAGCCAAACACTGTGACCTGGCTGGATCTTTGAAGTGTTCGGGCAATTGCTGTGTATTGAGCATACTGTTTTTTCTTCTCTTCCCAGAAGCCCATTCAACAGTGACTACAAAATACGGGATGCCATCCAGTCACTCTCAGTTTATGTGGTTTTTCTCTGTTTACTCGTTCCTGTTTCTTTATTTAAGGTGAAGCTTCTTCATTAGGTTTTGGCTGTTTTACACTTTGACCTCTGGGGCATTTGGAATGGGTGGCTACCTGCTGGTGGCATGCCTTTCCTTCTATTCAGTTGATTCCTGTAGGTAGAGCTGAATTCCAGGACCTTTGCAATCTGTTCTGTGGTGGGTGGGATTCCCTCTGGAGTGAGTTCATCCCAAATTGAATATAGGGCTATGGGCTCTGCTGCTGCCTGAGAATGTTGATTAAGGAGGGGAAAGCAAGAGTGAAGGGAAGGAGGCCCCTGATGCCATCGCTCCCATAGCATGAGTCCATTGGAATATGACTGCTGACACAATCTCTTTTGAATCATGCTAAATTGCAAGACTGCCAAAATCCATGCTGAAATGCAATTGGGGAACTAGGAAGGAGGCGAGAGAGAGAGAGAAGAGCTATCTTCTCATGGGGCTCTTCTCCCTTGTATTAGTGAGTTTGTCCCTGCAATCTCTCCAGTGATTCCTGCTGCCCTCTCGCATGACCCATTCATGGTTTGTCTCTGCTGCCTGGTGCTAGGCTTGCATTCTCTGATGTGGGGCTCCCCTTCTGAAGTCCTCTTTGCTCAGCTGTGGCTACCTCCTGCAGCTCTATAATATGGAGGAGCAGACGAGAGACCAGACAACTCTCCTATCCTGTACAAGTGGGCAACTATAAGGAGATCTGAGGCAAGATGGTTGCATATGCACTCTATGGTACCATGGGCACATTGGCTCCCTTTGTAGTGATCTCCATTAACACCTGGACACTGGGGTCGGGCTTTCTCACTTGCATCCTCTTGGCAGCAGTTGGATACATCAGCACTGCGGTGTTAACAGGTTATCCATGACCTCAATGAAGGCTATGTCTTCTTTAGGTCACTGTAATTTGGAGGCGTGGGATATAGGGACTGTTCCGCTCCCTAACACCCTCTCTTTTCCACTGCACTAATGGCTTTTTCCCCGTCTCATTTTTTTTCCAGAATGCACCAAACAAACAATGCCAGGTTTCTGGATTTACTGTGGCGACATGTGCTGTCCATCTGCCTTGTCACGGTGGCCTTTCTAGTCTCATATAGTAGGTATGGAACAGCCATTTGTCTTACTCTTTTGTACTAATCCTTGGCCTTGTGGGTTTTTGGCAGCACTTTATCCTCCTCCATTTGTGGTTCAGTTCTTGATAACTGTGCCAGAAATACCAAGGGCTAAGAGAGTCCTATGTTACCAGGGACTCTTCAGAATGGGAGCTCTTTCATTTTCTCTGGATTTTTTTTTCCTGGTCTAGTTATGTCCCTCAATAGTCACTTCAAAAATTGCAGTCCAATGGGTGGTTTTAAGCTTATATGATTGCACTGGGGCCCCATGGCTGCAAACCCAGCTATGTGGAGGCTGGATCATTGTGAAGAGAGTTGGCCATAGATGGGAAGGGACTTGCATTGAGCCCTGAATCTCTGTCTTCACACGTGGAGCTGCAAAACTGAAGACCAGTGTTCCCTCCCCATTCTCTCTGGCCTCCATGTCCAGGATATGGACAGAGTCATTTTGTCTACCTCATCCCTTTTCTGCACTAATCCATAAAGGCATTGAGCTAGGTCACGGGCCAGTACCTTTTGCAGCGTGTGAAGTATTTAATATTGACTGAAATGACTTCTTGTAGAGTCAGTCTAAATGTAGTCACAATTGTTTGGCTTCAGTCATCTTGCAGTATGAACAGACTTAGTCTGTGTGAGTAGTGTCTATGTGCCAGGATAATCTAATATATCATTACTATTGTGACCACTACCAGTAAAAAACTGTACTCTGTCTACAGCAATGAAGCCTTCATTCTGCTAAATTTAAGGTCAGCAAAAACCATGACAAAACAAGTTCCCATCATGCTATATATTCTGAAAGCCTTTAAACCCAGGCTTCAGAGAGTTACTGAAGGAGCAAGTTGACCTGCGGCTGGCTCTGGAAAAATTCTCTCCTGGGATCAACAGCAACAGGCCCCCAGCCAATCTGAACTTCTACTGTGAGAAACATGTAGACACCTTCTTAGATATTGGGCTTCTCAGATTTAGGAGTATTCCTAAACAGAAATTTATGTACACAGAAGGGTCTAAGTTGTTTCCTGATTATCCATTAGTGGATGGGGGGAAGCAAAAGATGTAATAGATCTCAATTTTTAATAAGGCTTTTGACACAGTCCCACATGACATTCTCCTAAGCAAACTATGGAAATACGGTCTAGATGAAACCATTAGGTGGTGCACAACTGGTTGAAAAACCATACTCAGAATAGTTATCAATGGCTTGCTGTCAAACTGAGAGGGCGTATCTCATGGGCTCCCACAGAGTACAGTCCTGGGTCTTGGTGCTATTCAGTATTTTTAGTGACTTGGATAATGAGCGGAGAGTATGCTTATAAAATTTGCAGATGACACCAAGTTGGAAGGGGCTGCAGGCAGTTTGGAGGACAGAATTAGAACTAAAAATGACCTTGACAAATTGGAGAATTGGTCTGAATTCAATAAAATGAAATTCAATAAAGACAAGAGCAAAGTATACACTTAGGAAGGAAAAATTCAGTGCACAACTACAAAATTGGAATTAACTGTCTAGGCCAGAGTTGGGCAAACTACGGCCCGTGGGACTGTCCTGCCCGGTCTCTGAGCTCCCGGCCGGGGAAGGCTAGTTCCGGCCCCTCCCCCGCAGTCACACTGGCTGGCTCCAGCATGGTAAGGGGGGAGGGAAGAGGGGGGGTTGGATAAGGGGCAGGGGGTCCTGAGGGGCAGTCAGGAGACCGGGAGGAGGGGGTGGTTTTATGGGATGGAGATTTGGGGGGGGGGGGACAGTTAGGGAAAGGGGAGAGCAGGGGGTGTCGGATAGGGGGTGGAGTCCCAGGGGGCGGTTAGGGGCGGGGTTGTGGATAAGGGTCATGGCAGTCAGGGAGCAGGGAGGGGTTGGAAAAGGATTGAGGTCTCAGGGGGCGGTTAGGGGTGGGGTGTCCTGGGACTGGGCAGACAGAGGTCAAGGAGCAGGAGTGGTTGGATGGGTCAGAGATTCTGAGAGGGGCGGGAAGTGGGAGGGGATGGATAGGGGGTGTGGGCCAGGCTGTTTAGGGAGGCACAGCCTTCCCTACCTGGCCCTCATACAGTTGCGCAACCCCAAAGTGGCTCTTGGGCCAAAAAGTTTGCCCACCCCTGGTCTAGGCAGTATTACTGCCGAAAAGGATCTGAGGGGTTATAGTGGATCACAAATTAAATAAGAGCTAACAATGTGGTGCAGTTGCGAAGAAGACTAATACACCCCCAAATTATATTAACAGGAGTGATGTATGCAAGACCTAGAAGGTAGTTTTTCTACTTTAGTCAGCACTGGTGAGGCCTCAGCTGGAGTGCTGGATCCATTATTAGGCACAGCACTTTAAGAAAGATGTGGACAAACTGGAAAGAGACCAGAAGGGAGTAACAAAAATGATAGAAGGTTTAGAAAACCTGATCTGTGAGGAAATGTTTTAAAAACCTGATCTGTGAGGAAATGTTTAAAAAAGGCATATTTAGTCTTGAGAAAAGACTAGGAGGGAGCACCAGACAATATGTTCAGGGATCTTTAGATATGTTAATAGCTATTACAAAGGGGACGGTGATCAGTTCTTCATGTTCGCTGAAGATCGGACAAGAAGTAATCAGCTTAATCCGTAGCAGGGGAGATTTAGATTAGATATTAGGAAAAGCCTTCTAACTATAGGGATAGTTAAAGCAAGAAATAGGTTACCAAGGGAGATTGTGGAATCCCCATCCTGTGCGTTTTCTTAGAACAGTTTAGATAAACACCTTGCAGGGATAGTCGATGTATACTCGTTTGCCTCAGCATGGGAGGATGGGATGCATGATCTCTCAAGGGCCCTTCCAGGCCTACATTTTTATGATTTCAATATCTTTTAAATAGGTGCCACTTGGCTGTTTCACATCTGGAAGATAACCTTGCTCTGGCCTTTATAGGGGCCTGTAAAACGCTGTATCCAGCTGTGTGACGCCCTCATTTTGTTTGAAATCCTGTCTCCGGTAATTTTCCTTTCTTGTTTCCTCTGAAGGGTCTATCTGCTCTACCACACCTGGAGCCAGGTCTTATATGGAGGTGTTGCAGGAAGCATCATGGCCATAGCCTGGTTTGCATTCACACAGGAGATCTTAACTCCTTTGTTCCCAAAGATAGCTGCATGGTAAAAACCTTTTATGCTATTTTGTGTTTGTTTTAATCCCCCAAGGCCTCACCCTCCTGCAGAATCAGATACTTGTCCAGCACTGTATGCCTCAAGTTTACTGTGTGTGCCACGAAAGGGGCCACAACAGTGTTTACCTCTTGAAATGTGCTTAACCTACTGGTATCTGGAGCAGCATGACACCCTTGCAAGGGAGTAAAGTCCTATTCAACCTGTACAGGGATAGAGAATTTATACCATATGGTGTAAGAAAACCAATCATGGGATACTTCAGTCCGTAAAACCAAATGATTGTTATGATGTTCTATAGGAATGCAACCCCCATGTAAAGGGGTTTAAACTGTGCACAGTTTCCCAATGGTCTAGAGGTTAGAGCAGGGGACTCGGAATAGGGACTCCTAGATTCTGTTTCTTGCTCTGTTTACTGACTCCCTATGTGACGACTCCCTATGTGACCATGAGCAAATAATTTAACTAACTTGTGCCACCATTTTATCCATCTGTAAAATGGGGATAATACTTCCCTACCTTTTTGGGGAGGAGGAATTGTGAGGCTTAATTGTTCATAAAGTACTTTGAGAACCTTGGAAGAAAGGTGCTAGAGGATTGCCCAGTGTTATGAGATAGTACCTCCAGGAACTGCTACTTCCTGACCTCCCCATCCATTTCTCCAAACGCACTGTAATGGAAAGGCTGATTCCAATGGGTCAGATCTCTTCTTACCTACACCAAACAAAAAAATGCAAATAAAGTGAAATGGCAATTTAGTTAAATTTAACTAGACTAGAAACCTTTCTAATAAGGGAGGGAAAATGGCACTTTTCCTGGTAAACTTATATATTGCTGTTTTCTAAATACACAAAACCTGTCCAGGTTTGCCTTGCAGGTAGCAGTGTTAAATTTCACACAATTTCCTCCATGGCTTATCAGAATTAGGAAAGAAAATGTTTTAATTCTCTGCCCCTCTTTTTCTCCCCCAAACCTTGTTAATTTTAGGCCAGCTTCAGAGTTCTTTTTAATCAGAGATACCAGCCTCATTCCCAACATCCTGTGGTTTGAATACACAGTCACCAGAGCAGAGGCAAGGTAAGCAGGATGGTAGGAGGTTCTGCACACAGGGAGGTGTATCTAAGCTGTTACATGCACTAATAGGGTAATGGTTTATTTACCTGTATCTTGTGATTTACCTTGTGATTATTTTATTTATGTATGAAAATTAAAGTAGCTGATGTGGATAGCTTTTATGGACCGGGTAATATAGAGTGTGAAAAGAGACCAAATTGTGGGTTGACTTTAATAGAGTGTATCGTTAAAATATAATCAGTATGAAATGGGAAAAAATGATAAACAAGTACAAATGATTCCAAACACAAAGACATAGGGGACTGCAGCAGTAGGGGAGAAACCAAATGTTGTAACCGTGTTGTAAAGGGTCCCTCTGGATGCAGTAAAGTGTATAACTTGAGCAGAATCATCTGGAGTGGTAAGTCTCCATTTTGTGCTGTGTGAGGTGAATTTGGTATTCCATAAAAAGGGAATCACAATAAGGTAGCCACTGTGTAACTACGTCTAGTCTCTCACATACACCTTGCTAATGCACTTCAGTTGTGACCTACAGACCCTCTGGTTATTGCAGACCTGAGCCTGTAAAAATGGGGAATGAGCACTCTTGACATCGGATGTGGTGGTCTGGTCTATCCAGCTCATTTTATTCCTCCCACCTCTTTAGCCAAGGAATGTGCTATGTCTGGTGATGGGGATCTACCTCACTCTGCCACCTCTACGTTCTCATTGCAGAAACAGACAGCGCAAGCTAGGTACGAAGCTCCAGTGACTCAAGGCATGGAAACAGAATGCAGGACTTAATGGAGAAGGACAAAAGTAGAGACCTGTACAGACCTGGGAGCAGCAAGGAGTCTTCACAGATGGACCAAAGGAACAGGCAGGGACCATACTCAAAGCCTGGAGGCCTTTGCTCTGGCTTTTGCAGCTAGCTGGATGCTCCCTGATGCATGTGGGACCATGCAGGAGCAGAACCTCATTTACCACACAAATGCACATTGCCAGTTGGAATGTACCATCGTGTCTGAGTCGCGGGAGGGGGGAGAAAATACTTGATGGCTTGTTTGGGGGAGGGAGAACCAAAAAAAACATCCTATTTCTGTGACTTTTTTTGCAGCATGAAATATACACACTTATTTATTTTTTTTAATTGAACTATTATTTTTGGGGTGGGTGATGCATGGATTGTGTGTTTGGAAGAAGACAAAACCAAAATTAGGTCTTGCCTAATTCAGGGGTTTTAATTTGCGGGTGGGGGGAGGCAGGATGGCTTAAGCAAGAGAGGAAGAGGTATTTCTTTCCTTTCTGCAACAGTTGGGAGATCGAAATAAATTCCCACTGCACTTTGTAAGGATATAAAGAAGCTACTTAAAGATTTGCTTTCAAACACTAGTGACATTCCTGTGCGCAAGCCTGCACGGATACCACCTGGGGTGTGGGGGTTAAAACACAGAGGAAAACCTAAAATACACTATTTTTTTTTTCACTGCTGCTCCTGTTGTGTAATTAGCCAGGTTGTTTTACCCAGGCCCTCTTCTTTTTAGGTGTCAATAACTTGGTATACGCATTAAATATCCCTTCACTCCCTCTTCCTTTTGTACTTTTATGACCCTAGAGCTGCTGGGACCTCTACAGTTTTTGTTGCTGATCTTAAGCCAGACTCTGTTATTGTTTAAGGACACCATGATTAAGTTTAAATAACTGCTAGTTAAGGCACAACTCCATGCTTTTAAGGATTACCCCAAAGTCATTAAAAAAAGCTTTTACTGGTATTAAAAGTTTGTATGATCAGTCTCTGCCCTAAACCCTCTTTCTGATAATGAATCTTCCCATTGAGCTTTTCAGCCATCAGTAAACTTTTTATAAAAATAAAAATTTGGTGAGTGCTGATGTCTGGCTTTAGCACTGCATGAATTACTTTTGGAGAGTCCAGTTAGATTCAAACACAGGTTACTGCTGAAATGAGGCAGTAAGTTTTAACCCTGGCAAACATTTCCATGGGTCATGCTGATTTGTTTTGGGTTCTGCAGTAGTCAAGACTATTGCAAAAGTCTGCACCAGCTACCTAGAATGCATAACTCGTAAGGGATCTTGCCCTTACTTTGTAAGGACTTTCATTTCTCCTTCCTTTTTCATTTTGACTGTTTTTCAAGTGATGAACTTCCTTAGTCTGGAGCTCCAGACAGTAAGTTCTGCTGCTAGATGTTTGGGTACCATTCTCCTGTGATAGGATATCTGACAGCCTCTTCCACCCTGCCAGTACTTAGATCCTCTGCAATAGGCTGGTAAATGGTTTGAGAAGACTATACTAACAGTGAGTCAGCAGTGCATCCTGAATGTACTTCATGGCTGTGCAAAGACTGTTCTATTGCACTTTTTAGCCTATAATCAAGACATTACAATGAAGTTCAGCAACAAGGTGGAGAGACTAACGGTACAATTGCCTTGAAGTTTCATAACAGGGGAAGGCCAGGGCAAGTACAGCTACCAAGCTGGGTCAAAAGAGGAGTATGTTAGCATCTGTCTGATATTGTCACCTGTACAGAGGGATGGTGACTATGCATACCCATCTCTGTCTTGCGGCATGTTTTACTAGCTTCCATTAAAAAGCTATTGAGGCTTCATAGAAAACTCATTGGTATGTACTGATGCAAGATGTGATTTTTGGTTCATATCTGATCATCTCTGTATTTTTCTGCCACCTTAATTTAAAAACAGCATTTTAAAGATTTCATCTGCTCCTCTTGCCATGATCCGTGTGTGTGTGTGCGTGCGCTATAGAACCTATTTTATCCTCATCCTAGAATTTGGCCCAGGAGGAGATAGGCCTTTTATTGTAATGTAGTGATTAAGAATGAAAACCTTTTAAAACATACTTGTTCTAAACTGAATATATCTTTCTCTGTAGCAGCAGTTCTTTAGATTTTTTTTTAAACTAAGGATATGGGGAATTTTTGTCTATTACAATAAATTTCTCTAATTTAGCACTCATTGGAGTGATCTAATATGAACTCTCCATACTGAGATTTCTAGTGCATTTGCACATAAAATAGCACTTTTATTCCTCATAAAAGCACTTTGGCTGGGCTGATCTCTCTCTCTTTTTGAGCTATGGGCTGTGACTTTAATGGGCATTAGCTCAGGCCCATAACTATTTCATTAAAAAAGGCCATGGGTAGGTGAGAGAGAGGGGGGAAAGGAAGTGCGAGTAGCTAAGTTAGCTAGGTAATAGGGTAGTGTAGTAATGAGTTAAGCACCAGAGTAGAATGCAGTACTAATTGGTTCTTTTTCTTCTAACCACCAACTGAAAAGCAGAGCCAAATAAATAAAATGTACCACCATTCTTCTCCCTCACTTAAAAAAAAAAAGGGGGGGGGCAGTTGAGTAATTTCCCAAAGCTGAGGCAAAAAATGTAAATTGCTTCAAAGGTAATTAACACATCCCTCACCTCTTCCAGAGAGACTGTCATCCTAGAGAAGTGGAAAAGTCACCTTAAAAACGACATTTACTTTATTTTCTAATGATTAACATACTCTGTGGCTCTGGCAGTGTTTGTCTACAGTGACACAGTGCATTAAACCCTACAACTTGATAGCACCATCAAGCCAGTGGTCTGCAGCCTGTGGTTGGGGAAACAGTCCTATGCTTCTCCAGCACAGTTCCGGCCATCTGCTTTCTCTGGCCTTTTATACTATGGCTGCTTCAGCAGTATAGCTGTGGCACCATAGCTATGCTGCTGTAACTCTAGCATAGATTCAGACTACAGCAAGGGAATGGTTTTTTCCCCATTGCTGTAGGAACTCCACCTAAGTGACTGATAGGAGCATTCTTCCATCTTTCTAGCTCTGTCTACAGAAGGAGTTAGGTCACCATAGCTACGGTGTTCAGTAGTGTGCATTTTTCATATGCCTGCATGCTGTAGCTATATTGATGTAAGTTTTAAGTGTAGACTGGGCTTCGGTCTGCTTCTGCTTTCTTTTTCCATCCCCCAGGAAGCTACACGTTGTTTGACATAGCGATAAAGGCCCCTTGTACATTCTTGGCCAAGTTGAGCAGCCTAGGAGGTGAGAAGAGAAACTTCAGGTAGCCTCCTGCCTTTAGGTAGGTGGATTGAAAAGGAGCAAGGAAGGTAGATGACTGCCCTCAGAGAACTACTCCTTGCTTTCCAAGTAGCGGATCTCTTGCTTTGCTCCCTTACCATGGCCTGGGATGGAGATACTAAAACAATAGGAGGAAGATGATAAATTCCTGTGTGATCTATTGTTCTGTGACCCACGATGAACATCCTTCTATAAAGACAATCATCAAACTTATACCTAGAGCATTTTCTGCATAGAATCAACCCTGTTGGCAACATTTATACTTTTATTTATGTTGGAAGAACATCACCAATCCTTGCAGGACACTGATTACATTATCAAAAAAACATGTAATGCGTTTAACTGGCTGAGCATGCAAAGACACTGGCTACGCCATCAACAACACCTCCAATCCCAGAGTTTAGTTGCACATTAATAATTTACATATTTCCCTAATTATTCAGTAAATCAGTAGTTTCTTCATAACTTTTACATAGCCTTTAAGACCATGGACACTTCTTGGGCAAGTGACCAGCTAATAAAGGATAAACAAACAAATTGGCACTCAAAATAACTGGTCACTGGAAAAATAAGTCAAGAAGTGATGAGTCAGAGGGACATCACCGCAGCTTGAAATTGGCAACAGTAAAAGGAAAAAACACTTTTAAAAGAAAACCATGTAAACAGTTGTAATGTAATAAAGCAGCTCCCCTGTTAATCCTGCTTTCTGCCCCCTACATCCTAAAGAGAGAATGGACAAGCTGGATAAGAATCTTTTGTGTTTCCATATGCCTGGCACATAAAGACCTCCGCTCCACAGCTGGAGAAATGTCCCTGAAGCCAATGGGATCTCCAGCTTTATATCTGACTTAAGATTAAAACTAGACCCATCCCCTGTATTTTCCATTAATAGCAGAGTGCACTTCCACCTCATCCTCTTCAGGGGGCACTTGCCTTTGGGTGATTACTTCTGTCTTATTGAAGGGGGGAGGAGAGAATTCTTAGTTTCTGAAATTAGCCTTGTAATAATAAGACACGCCAATATGTAGCGATGCTGTGGTTGAAGGCACTTGGTCTTTGGCCTCATGGCCAGAGACCACAGTAGAGTAACATCAGTTATCAGCAGGCACTATATTGACTCATTACATACAGGGAGGAAAAAAACTGTTTACTTTGTCTCTGGCTAAAGGAATCTCTTCCAGAATAAAAGCCTCCCTAAAAAGTAGTGTTTTTTTAAATCCCAGCAAGACCTTACCCATTCCAATTCATCCCAAAAGGGTGCAGTCTCTTAAATGGTTATATAAGTACTCATTACATATAATAAATATTAATACAGATTAAGATTTTGGGTGGCCTCTTGTAACTTTCAGTCTCGTTCATTGTGGAAGAATCAGATTGTTAGAGCGGGTGTGTTTGTACCCAGAGCTTTGCATTACATGCTCCCATTGCTTTCTAACCCTCTCATTCCATTTATAATTATTTTTTTAAACTTAATTTTTTTTAATGGTGGTTTGTACAATCGTTAGCTGTGCAGGTGAGTTTCAGTAAAACTTTCCCGTCAATATTTAGTTGGGGGGGTGGAATTTGAATTTAAAACAACTGAGAGCAGGTTTGCATCAATTAAAAAGTGAGATGGGGTGACTAAGTGTTCATAAAAGAGAGGTTTTCAATACTAGTAGGATGAATGTACTTCAAATTGGTCAAATTGCCCTCTACCAAGGCACCAAGATTGTGAATGCTCTCGAGGCCCATCACCAGAAGAGCAGCAATGACCCTACTGATTGGGTGACTTTGTGTTATGGACAAGTGTTTGTGTGATAAAACAGACTACAAACTCAAGCTATTCCTTGGTTCAGCACCGTATGTTTGGGCTTGCAGAACTACTGTTATCCCACTGCAGGAATAGCATCGGCAGGGGCAAACAATGCACTCTCTTCTATAATGGCAGTAGGTCTATGGTTTCACATGTTGCCCTAGGAAAGATATTGGCGGTTTTATATTCCTTTCTTACTGTCTCACAATATTTTTTAAATTGCGCATTTATAAATATATAATTCCTTCATTTCTAAAGGTTCAATCAAATTAACACAGATGTGACTATATTCCACAAAAGAGGGAAATTATAAATCACTATGGGTATAAATAACATTAAGGCAAGAAGAAACCAGGTTCTGATGAAGAAGCGCTGTCGGCTATGGAAAAGTCCATTGTTTTGGGCAATGAACAGACAGAGTCTGTACATCCTAGAGTAGACTCCTGTGCTTTCTCCACTACCTCCCTTATTTTAGAGGAACCACAACCTTGGTAGGAGTTGATAATATATGGCAGGGGAGAAGTGTCATTCTGCACCTTTTTTTTCCTTCAGCTCCAACATACATCACCTATGCAATCTGGAACCTATAGGCATTTTGGGAAACTTGATTAGAAGGGCTAATTAAGTTTCTTATGCAGCATCTCCTTAGACTAAAATAAATGCAGCATGGAAAACAGTGCATGATCTCTCAGTTTGCAAGTAACAAAGGGCAACATGGTTCCCATTTCTTTTCCCATTTGAAAGAGAAGGGGCAGAATGAAGAGGACAGGTTCTACAAACAACATCAAGGTCTATGTAATCTCTCCCCACTACAAAATATTTAAGTGCATAAAGTCAAGGCCAGCAGAGCCTGCATAATTAAAAAAAATCAATTAAAATGTTTAGTAGAAGCAATACAAGAAAGCCAAAGAGGCTCAAGTTGCAGAGCCTGAAGCTCTGAGATGGAGACCCGCCAGCAATCCATCACTTTATGCTTCAAACAAACAAAAGGCCAGAGTAGGGGAAATGAATTCAGTTGTAGCAATGGTGTTTCACAGTTAGTGGAGAAAGTGCAGACCCAAGTATTAGAAGGATGGGGAAGGGAACGTTCCTAGCTGTGAAAAGCACACAAAGACCAGTCCCCTAGCAAGGTTATGTTAGGAAAACAATTTTCTAGAAAAGCAGTACAATGCATCCTAACAGGACTGGATTTCCTCCGATTTACGGCATTCATCCCCCCACCCCAAAGTTCAATGGCACTGATGACACCACTTTGGGAGGCATAACATGGCCCAAAAGAGATATTCCCAACCCCTCAAAAGCCTGAGCCAGCAGAAAGATTCAAGTGGTCTCAGACCTACTCAGCCAGGGGAATACTCCCCCTAGTGGATGAAGAGTGAAGGATGGGATGAAGAATGTGCTTTCTCTGTTCTTTCCACTGTAAATTCAATAAAAAGATGTTGCGCCAGTATACCTTCAAGGGAAGAAAGTCATACTTTGCGCATTGTGGGACAGGATCTCTGTCAGATCTAGCTCGGAATAAGGCAATGCTTCCTTTCACCTTGCAGTCTGATAGCTGGAGATTACCACTCCTTAACTTCTCTGCAGAGAGATGCGTGCCATATGCTCTTCTAGAGTCCTAATGGAGCCCATCTCCTGTTGCCCAGTTTTTGGAGAGCTGGGAGCTTCTTGTGCACATGAGGCAGCTCCTAAAGCTTAGGGGCTGTGAAGGAGGTTCATTTCTTACAATTTTGATTTGGGTGTGGATTGGAGCAGGAGCCGCATGTCCAGTAGCGCCTTCTCCAGGTAATGTGCTAGGCGGGCTGCATTGGTTTCGGCACAGCTGTTGTACGCCGACATT